CCTTGCCTTCTCAGAGCTCTCTCTACCTGGCTGCTTAAATGGAACGTGGCCAGAGAGCACCCCAGGCAAAGGGAGCAGGTGCTCAGAGGGGGAAGCAGGGCAGGCTGGACCTGCAATGGAAGCAGGGGAGTGGCAGGCAAGGGATGGTGCCACCTATCTGTCCCCTAAGGGATGGGCAGCAGTCTCCTCTTAGTCACAGGGGCTATGCTTCGAGACTCCTAGAGAACTGAGTTATATAGTAAGCCATTATATATATATATATATATAATATATATATATAGTTAGTCATGTTTATCAATTAACAACAATAACAAAATAGAACAATTACAATAGACCATAAGAACCTGTGTGAATGTGGCGTTTCTCTCTGCTTCTCCCTCTCCCCCAGGTGGGTACCACATACAGTGCAGTGATGCTGGACAGAGGGACAATTCATGTCCTGGGCGGGAGGAAGTGAGACGGTGCAGTATGGTGCCACTCAGAACATGATTAGACTGTATACTTATTTACTTTTGGAAATTTCCATTACTATTTACAGACCATGGTTGACCACGAGCAAGTTCGGGAAAAGAAAACCTCAGGCCAGGAGATGGAAAAAAACAAAGCAGAACAGAACCGAAGATGATCACATTAAAAGTTGAACAGTAAACTGGAAAAACATCTGATATTTAAAGATATTTTTGAGCTATAAAAATAAGCAAAGATTTAAAGTCCCACTAGGAAAAAGGTATATACATAACCCGTGGACATGTGAAAATTTTGTTAGTAAAGTATAATAAAATCGCAGATTTCCCCCCCAACTATGAATTTGGAAACATTTCTCAAAAAATAAACTCCATTATTGGTGCAAATGCTGAAAGTGGCTTTGCCTGGCCCCTGCTGGGAGACTGAAATAAGCCCTTTCCCATGCTTGTTAGAGAACAGTGATCAAAAGACCAGAGGCTTCCTTTCTTTAATCTTGCAATGTCATAGCTTTTATCAGGGAAATGACCCAGAGAGAGGTATAAAGAGAGTCACATATTTCACTGCATCTTTACACCAACAAGATGACGTCTTTTCAAGAAGCAGCTTTCTTCTTGCAATGAAGGGCAGAATCCTCATGTTATCTACGCAGAATTACTGAGCACTTTTGCCAAGCACTTTTTCTAAGCACTTTCCAGGCATTAACTCTAGGGGATGCTCACCGCCCAGCCAGGGCTCCCAGCTTCATTCTGGTACCTGCTTGCTGTTCCACAAATGAGGAAACTGGCCCTTAGAAGAATAAAATAACTTGTCCAGGTACCCACAACACGGTGAAAGAACAGGTCTAGGCTAGCCTGGCCTTGGGGACACAAGTAACAGAAAACCATTCAAGTTAACATGTTTTTCAGGGCTTGAGTGGGGTGGGGAGAAGGACATCTGTAAATTAAGATTTACTGAGAGCTGCCCAGAGGCCAGGCAGTGCCTTAAGCACTTTCCAGGTCCTAATGCTTTTACCCAGGTACCCAACCTCAGAAAGCAGGTGCTACTGTGAACTCCACACTGCAGGCGAGAGAGCTGGTCAGAGGCTTAGAGACGGAAACAGATGACAATGACCAGCCGGGCAGCAGGCTCCAGGACTCATGCTCCCGCCGGAGTAACCAGGACTCTGTGGGGTTCAGGAGTCGGAGTGAGCTGTCAAGACCTCAGCTTGCCCCCAAAGCCCCCTTCCCCACTGGGCTTCCCCTTGTTTTTCCAGAACGGTAGCCCCAGGCCCACATTGTCTTCCCAGATCAGCACAGCAGTACAATAACTAGTCTTCCCTTCTCTGGGGACTGAGAGGTCTGGTGTGGCTTGTGCTGTCTGCAACGTGAGCAGAAAGGAGAAAAAGTAGCTTCTCACAGGAGAGGATGCTGGCATATCCACAGTGAAGAGCAGGCAGCTGTGACTGGGGGCCAAAGGAAAAGCCGTCAATGCTGGTCTCGCTATGTGCCCAGTGTTTTCAAGGCGCTGGGCAGCTGAAACATGTTTGCTCCCAGATCACAGGCACAAGGAGGAAGACAATAAAACTTGCTACTTGCTGGAAAAGCAATGTGAGCAGGGTAGCTGGAAGCCAGAGTCAAGGAAATACTGATTAAAAAGTAAGCAGAAAGCTGGGTGTGGTGGCCCAGGCCTGTAATTCCAGTGCTCTGGGGAGCTGAAGCAGAAGGATTACAAATCTGAGCCCAGCCTAGGCAATTTAACAACTTAACAAGGCCCTGCGGGGCGGTGGGGAGCAGATGTCAGGTGTTGAAGACCCAAGACAGCAGCCGAAGCTGCAGTGATGGTTCTACATCTACCCAAACACACAACCTATGCCAGGCACCATGCTAAGCAGTCCCTGCACATCTGTCTTTATTCTGCTACCTGCTATTTCATGGGTGATGAAACTGATACTTAGGAGGATGCAATTGCATGCCCAGAACCCACAGTGATGGAGACAAGATTCCACAGTGTATAAATGTCTTGGATTGGTTACTGTTGTTGTGGGGAGAGGCCAGCAAAGATCATGGTCAAGTTCATTGTTTTCCTCACGTTGTAATCCATGTTGAAAATGAACATTTCTTCGCTGGTAGCAATCTGACACCACCTAACCATAATTAAGGTGCCGCAGTGCCCACACCAAAGGATTTATTCAGTAGACCCCAGCAAAGAAGTTGTGGTCATTAAATACTGGATTTTTTCCAACACGCTTTTAAGTATCATTGATATAGCGTGCAAGCTGTGCCATTTAAAATATCAGGGAAAAAACTGGGAGGATTTCAGGTGCAAACACAAAGAGCCTGAAACCACCAAGTCAGAAACCTGAGCTGGCCTGCAACTACCACGTATGGAAACCCTGGAATCTCCGTGATGCTTTTGGGACTATTTGGTTACAAGGGAGACCCAGAGCTGACCTTTCTTCCAGGAGACAATCAACAGAAGGCTGTATTTAATGGGACGAATTTCTTCCCATTAACAAAACTTCTAACCTTGTACAAGAGAAAGAAGGGAGGGTAAAGAAGAGATGACTCTTAGTTCCTTAGGAGTCTGGATAGAAAACAAAGAGCAAAGAACCGGCAAAAGGAGGTATTGTTTAAGGACATATGATCCACCCTGCTTTAAGTCCTTTCCTCAAAGAGTATAGAAAAGCTAAAGAATAACAGAAACAAGTCAGTGGTAACTTGACTCTTTCATTAAATATTTTTATTACGCCCCTTTTACAAATACCCACAACATGTAGCTATTAAGGCATCCCTGCTGAGTAATCCACATTTTACTTCCTGTGCTTTCTGGCCCGTGGAACCCTGTATTTAACCTGTCCCAAAGCACTTTTCTTGCTATGTCACAAATCCCAGTAGAATACACTGCCCTTTATTCAGGACTCCCATCCCCCACATGTACTATTTCTCTGTGGCACTGGATTGCAGCCATTGCTACCACTAGATTCTTTCCTTGCATGGAAAGGAAATTTAGCTGCTCATAAAATGATGGTTGGTTGAATTAACAAAGTGCTTCTCTTTATGTATAAACACTGTAACACATTATCTTGTAGTGCATCTTCATGGTCATCTTGGGACCAGGAGCCCCTTAAGAGCAAGGCCAGTGTCAACGGCCTGGCATGATACCTGACAGTTCCCAGCAAATAGCACATGCACAGTAAATGCCTGAATGGCTCAGTACAAAATTTCTCAGCATATGACTCAGTAGGAAAAGAGTGGGAGAACACTAAAAGGGGTTATTGATGAAGAAAAAGGTGTGAACTAGAGAAAGACAGTTTATAGGTGCTGAGTCACGGGAGAGGGTAGTTTGCTGGCAAAGCGAGTCTGTCCCAAGATGCCAGGTGGGGTGATGTCGCAGGAGGGAGATGGGGGCCCATGGGAACACTATGGGTGCTCTTAAACCATTCCAGAGAATGTAGAGGCATATCTAATTACCACGGGGCAGAAGGGGAAACGGGACAGAATGGTTCCTTTCCTGCCAATGTTCAGCTAAGTGGTCGGTCATCACCTCTTGGCGGGAAGGATTAGGAAATCAAGAATAACTGTTACACAGATCAAAATATATTGGCAGCAAAGAAGGAAACTACGAGGAATTCATACTGAAGTTGCGACTCCCGGGAGCTAAGACAAGCTACCTTGGTTAGGTCAGGGAACACATGTTCAGGAGAAGGGCAGGAGGCTACACATCTTGGGGCTAGGGTGACCCTGCACAGTTGCACCTCGAGGGCATGCCTTGATTCCTATGTTACCTTTTCTCTTGGCGGAGATTGTAGTATTATAATGAAGTAAAGTTTGCCTATCACAAGTGCACACTCTAATCTTAGGGTGGTGCGTGGACTTTTTTCTTTCTTTTTTTGTCTTTTTAGACAGGCTCTCCCTATGCAGTTCAGGCTGGTCTTGAGCTCACTTTGGAGCCCAGGCTGGTCTCCAATTTGCAAGGATCCTCTTGCCTCTGCCTCCTGAGTGCTGGGATGATAGGCGTGTGCCACTACGCCCGGTTTGGAACACTACGTCTAAAGAACAGTTTTTCTTTGGAGGTCCGGGTACCGAGCGAGAGGGTCTGCATCCTGCCTTCCTAGGCGGTCCCTCGACTGTTTCGGCGGTCATTTCCTCCTCCCAGGAATCTCTCAACCCTTTCAAGTCTAACAAGGTGACTCCAGGAGAGCAGGGGAGGGAGGAGGACTGTGGGTTGACACTCTAGGGCTGTGCGGCGGATACCGTTTTATATTTTGATTCTGACGGCAAGAAGCAGCTCCGCACGCTGGGCTGTACATCCCTATCCATGCCCTGCACGAATTCAGCAGCAAGGTAATCTTGGTCCTTCAGGGCTTCTGTAGAACAGAATAAATTTAGCAAACCGGTATTTTAGAGACCAGAAAAGATCAATACTATTTTAAAATTTAAATCACCTTTATGGGAACTTGAGGGCAGACTGTAAAACATTAATTCTAGCGTCTCATTTACAAAAACCACAAAGATAATACAGTCTACACTTTTAACGCCCCCGGGCAGACACCGGAAGTGTTAGTTTCTACGTGACGTCACTTCCGTCGCGCTTAGAGTGGTGCCAAGATGGACGCTCCCTGGGCTCGGGAGCAGCTCCGCCGGCGTTACCAGTTGCCCACTGACGTCGAGACCCGGCTAGACCGCGAGGGCGACACCGGGCGGGGTGAGGCGCTCTCCCCGAACTTGTTCAGGGTTTCCTGGAGCTTCTCGGATACGAGGCGCACAAAAACCGCCCGCCCCAGGGGCCACTCACAGCCCCGACCCAGTTTGGGGGAAGCAGAGGTTCCATTTTTCAAAACATCCCAAATCATTTTGCACATCAGGTACTTGGTGTCATGAAAGAGCCTTAGAGATCATGTAGCCCTGCACATCTCCGTATCCTCTGCACTTTAGAATTCCCTGAACAGTAGGTTTAATAAATTTTTGGAAATATCCAGTAAAACTATCCATAGGTTCTAAACCTTAAGAATTAGCCAAAGAAATATGTTTGAACCGTTACACGAAGATGCGTGTGCACAGTGCTTCTTTTCTTTCTTTTTGGTTTTGGTATGGAAAATTGGACGCAAGACCTTTTTTAATTTTCAAATTTTTAGACTGTCTTTCTGAGTTGCTGTGTTACCAGACTTGTGATCTTCTTGCCTCAGAGACCCAGAGTGCTGGGATTACAGTACAGGCATGCAGCATCACCTCTGACTTTAGTGTATTTTACATACGGACAGATTTTTCTGTACCAGCGTAGATTACTTCAGAGCAAATTGTGTGCCACCATTTGAGCAGAAAATGTAACTTGTGTGTTCATCCGTGAATTCCTAGGGTATAGAAGAATTCAGTAAAGATGATAGTGATGACTGCTTCTGGGTGTGGGAACTGGGGATAAGGGTGGGAGAATTCACTTCAGATCCTTTTATCCTGTATGTTGTAAAACCATGTCTATATATTAACTTTCCAGAATAAGTACAAGTATGGTATCCTGGCATAGTAATTTTTAAGTTTCAAGGATATTTCCTAGTCTATGTTATGAACAAACACCCCAGGGAATCTGATGTCATCTAAAGGTCCAGCACCCACATATAGTTCCAATGGTTGTTAAATGAATTTAGAAAGTATCTCAGAATCACCTTTCAGTTCATGTCTCAAGTGGGAGAAATCTGACACTGCGGTGCTTTGGTACAGTGGTTTTCCCTTTCCATGTGTGAGTGGGCCTCAGAATGGTATTTGTTTAAAATCAAGTCCTTTGTTGTAAAGTGTTTTTAGAAAGTCACATGTCCATTTCATGCTCTCATATTTCATTTGGTATTTTTTTTTAATCAGGACTAATTACTATCCCAGAGGAAATGTGAAACATAATAATAAAATTCCTATATTTATAGATGGCACCATTGTATCTAAAAGGTTATAAAAGTGTAAATTGTATTTCAGAATTCACAGAGGAAATAAGTTGACTATACTGAGCCTATTTTATGGTGGCTCCAATTAATTATGTAAATGTAAATCTATCTTGATTTATAGAAGGATTTGGTACTAGAATGGGAGAGATTCTGGTTATTAGAAAGCACTAGACAATGATTGGCTTAAAGTAGGTATAATTTTTCTTGTAAAACTACAGCAACTTAGTAAGTTGAAATCTTTATTTACAGAAAGCTCCACAACTGTTGAGAAAAAGGAAAAACCTCTTCCAAGACTTAATATCCATTCTGGATTCTGGATTTTAGCATCCATCATTGTGACCTATTATGTTGATTTCTTTAAAACTGTTAAAGATAACTTTCACACCAGTAGGTAAGAAAACTTATTGCTTCATAATTAAACATCCTTGTCTTATATTTTTGTATTATATTTTGTCACTTGAATTCTTAAAGACTTTTAGTAAACTAGTTTCAACTAGAACCATGGAGGAGATGCTAGTGATAAAAACAGGTATGGGTCAAGGGTACAGCTTTGTGGTCTGAGACAACTAAGTTACAGTGTTGTGTAATTGGCATCTGCTTGGGTGGTAGATTACAAGTGTTTTTATCACACACAATGGTAAATTTGAAGTAATATGAGCTGATCCACTTGATTATAGTCATCGTTTTCTGTGCATCAGACCATGTGCACCTTGAGTATGTACACTTGCAATTTGTCAGTTGTGCCTCAGAAAAACGGAAAAAAAAAACCAGGACAAATAAGAGGATGTGTGCTCTGGGCAGGCACAGCAGGGTGGATGAGAATGGAGGATTCCTTCAGGATTCCTTTTCAGCCCAAATCTGTGGGATGTAGAAAGTAGTGAATTTTAGGGACCCGTCATCTCCCAAACCCCTCCTCATGAAGATCCATCGCTTCAGTGCTCTTATGCTAGGGGCCAAGATTCCAGCACCTGAATCTTGGGGTGGAGTACCCATTGGACCCCAACTATTGCAGGAGGCTCCTCCTTAAGTTTTTTTTTTCTTTTTTTTTTTTTTTTGAGACAGCCTCTTGCTATGCAGTTCAGGCTGGCTTTGAGCTCACTTTATAGCTCAGGCTGGTCTTGAACTTGCAATGATTCTGCTGCCTCAGCCTCTTGAGTGCTGGGATTGCAGGCCTGCACCACCATGTTTGGGTTTTTTTAAGTGTTTCATGAGCGAGAATCTGAAGTCAGCCTGTCTCCCTGACTGACTCTCAGTAATCCACGCAGCTGCGGACAGTGGAGGAGTTTGTGGTCCTCTCTCCCTGTCTTTATCCCTCTCACACGCCAGACTGCAGGGTCAGCCAGGAAGTAGCGCTCAAAACAAGGTTCTTTCTGGGCTGACTGGCTGGTGAGAGCAGCCCGAGGCATGGGGTTATCAACCCCTCTCTTTAATCCGACCTGAGTTACATGTCTCCTGTTTTCTCAGGGTGAGACTTTCCCAGAGCCGAGGTTGTGCAATTGCGGGTCCCTTCACACCCCTTCTCCAGGTAACCCCTCTTAGACAGGTGACCCTTCGGACTGGCGGTGAAACCCGTGCCGTTTTTCTCCGCAGTTGGTTCCTCCTGGGCGCTGCCCTGCTGCTTGTCAGTTTGTCTGTCGCTTGTTACTGCATTGTCTACCTGGAGTGGTACTGTGGTGTTGCGGACTATGACGTCCAGTATCCGACGCTGGTGCCCATCACCACTGCCACGTTCATCGCAGCGGGAATTTGGTAAGTTACCTTGGAAATGAGGACTAGCCTCGAGCCCCTCGCGGGCTGTGCTTCCTGCCTCTGGTAAATACTGCTCACCTTGGGGTCCCTTAGGCGCTTTATTTGTGCTTCGTCTGTTCTCTGTGTTTTCTTGACTACTAGGGATGCAGCTCTGTGTGAAGGCCCCAAGTTCAGCCCTCCTCCCCTTTCTTATTTTAAGGCAGAGTCTTGCTAAGTCACCCAAACTGGCCTCAAATTTGAGATCCTCCTGCCTTAGCCTCCCAGGGTGCCAGGATCACACTCACGCGCTACAACACCCAGCCCACTGTATGTGTTTTTGTGAACCTTACAGAAATGGGCGTATGTGGTGTCTTTATTTCACATTTGACTCTGAATGTGTGACAGTGCAGTTGTTGTTGCTTCCCAGTGCCATTTATTTTGTTATTGTTTGGTGTTCAGTCTAGCTGAGTTCCAGCTGGCCTGTGTCACTGTCAATGGTATAGGTTGTTTCCAGTTCTTTCCTGTTATGAAGGATGCTGTTAAGAACATGCCTGTACCTGTGTCTTGCGGCACATGTGCTTATGGGTCTGTCACGTGTGCGTGTGTACATGTGCGCACATGGCACCAGGGGCTGAGGTTCTCAGGTCCTAGGGGTCTGCAGACTTACGGCTAGTTTCCAGAGCGGTAGTGCAGTCAGCCCTGGGGCCCTTGGGTCCGCAACTGTGGGTTCATGAGCCGGCTGGCCGGGGAAGAGGAGCTGCATCTGTCCTGAGTGTGGAAGGCTTCTCCTCCTGTCCCTGTCCCCTGGGCAGTGTGGCAACTTCACCTAGCACTTGCGTGGTGCCGGGTGTTCAGGGTTGTCCTAGACAGGAGCTAAGTACCTGGGAGGACACGCAGCTGTTATGTGTGAAAACCACGGCATCCGGTACCGGGGTTTCCTTAGCCCCAGTCCTGTTGTCCCTGGCAGTTATTTTTATCCTCACACCATGCTGCAGTGAATATGCTTATACTTAATAAGTTCAAGTCCTCAGTAAAAGAAGGAAGGGATTTTTCAGCTTAGAAAAATAATACCTAAAAAAAGTAATACTTGCTCACTGAAGAAAACTCTGTAAGGTACGTGAAGACAGAAACTCATCCCATGATCCTGCCAGTCATGTATTGTGTGTAGCTGTTTAGTATTTTTCTTTCTTTGTATGAGTTGAATTTTGGTTTTGCAAAATCCATCCATTTTTATACATATTCAGTTTAAATATGCTTTCTGTGATTTCACTTCAGTTTGAATTTAAGGCTGTTTGTCACTGTGATGTGGGCACCAGTGTGATTTTACTTTTATCTCCTAGCTGAGATCTCCCCAAGAAATTGTTAGAACAGTTTTTACATCAGTGGGATTATGATTATTTAAAATTCATGCTTATCAGAATAGTATGCATTAAAACCAATAACTGTCTGAAAAACTTACTTAACTGTTAATAGTTTTCTTAGTTAACTTCTGTTAAATTCCATCATTAAAAATCACTTGTACTCAGTGTCTTATTTTTCATTTGGTGACAAGAAATAGTGTTTTTCTCAGTGGAAAATTAGTAGCACCTTGTAAACACAGACTGTTTTCCTTCTCTTTTTATTTGCTGGTGCATGAGGCATAAAAGCCCGCCGTGACCATTCGAATTCACAGGGCGCCACAGATGCTGCTTTAAGCGACTTGGCTCTCTACTGAGCCAGGCCCGCTGCTGTCCAGGAAACTGTTTGGGTCCTGGAGCACATGTAGCATTTTCTTCCTAACGCTGCCTGAGTCGCATGGCTGCGGAATTACGGGGTACACAGAAAGCTGCTGGGGGATGAACCCCTCACGCTGTGAAATGTGTTTGCGGACATTAAAGCAGAGTTGTCAGTTCTTACACCCATGTTTGGTCCTTGCAGTTTCAACGTGGCCTTGTGGAACGTGTGGTCGTTCTTCACCCCGCTGTTGCTGTTTACCCAGTTCATGGGGGTTGTGATGTTCATCTCGCTCCTCGGGTGAGCTGAGGTAAGGTAAGACATCTGGAGGGGCGACCTTGTCGGGAGAGGTCTTTGGGACATTTGAGGGATGCAGCTGTCACACTGCTTCTGAGTCGTGTCCAGGAGCATTTGCACAGAGCTGTTCCCGCTCTGACCCCGGGCCCAGGGACCGAGACCTCTCTCCTGTCATAGGATCCAGCCCTCTCCTGGGGGCGGCTCTTCAGAGCCCTCCTGGAGGCATCAAGCATACCTCCACTGTGGCTGAGTCCACACGCGAGGCTGTTTGTCTGGAAACCCGCTTCAGTCAGCTTACAAGGACGATTGGCCAGAGAATTCTTGAGGCATGGAACTTGGGAACCGTGGGCAGTTTGACCTAAGTGGGGGTGAACTCTCCGCAGTTCCATCTGTGCTGGCTGCTTCAGAAAAACTTAAGAGATGATACAGCCCGACCTTTCTTTCCTGTGTTGCTTAGAGAGTCTGTGTCCTCAGAGCTCCCTGGGCCTGCTGCCTTACAGAATACGGTTGGCTTCCGAGCCATTTATCAGAGAAACGGGCAGTTTCAAGACTGCTCCCACCACCCAGCATCTGGTAAAAGGACAAATAAAAACCGTCCCTTCATGCCACTCCTGTCCCACTTGGCATTCCCTGAGGAAGCTGGGACCCCCCCCAGAGGAAGTCAGCATCTACAACAGTTTACTGACAGGGAAATGAGGCCCAGGGAGAGGAAGGCTTTGCAGCTGTCCTGTGTCCCAAGGAGGGTACCCTTGCCATTGGCCACGCTTGTGTTTCCGTGGGGCAGAAGGGCCTTTTGCTGCCTGTCTGAGAATGGTTGCCAGCAATGTGTGACAGTAGTCGTGTAGGCAGTGTCCTCCAGACATCGCACCGCGTGGAGAGAACTTTAGGACGTCCTGCAGTGGCCCTGTCCCTGTTCACGGCACTGCTCAGGCAGCTCAGGGCCTAGCACATCCCCTCTTTCTGCCTGAGTCCTGTGCTCTGCTTCTCTGACCACCAGGAGTCTCCTGGGGCCGTGGTGACTTCTGTGAGCCCTGGGGAGCCCTGAGCATCATGCCAGGCGATGGGGAAGGTCGTGCTGTCGGGGCCTTGGATCGAGCTGTGCCTTTGCAGTTCATGAGCAGAACACAGGGCATCTGGTGTGGGACGTAGGTGCTGGTTTCCTTTCAGATCAAAGGATGTGGATGTTTAAAAGGAGTGACGGGACGTGCAGCCTGCCGACAGCATTGTGGACAGGAAAGCTGCAGTGTGGTCTCGTGTCTGGGAAGTGACACCTGGGATCCCTGGGAAAACGGTGAAGATCTGTTGTTGAAATTACAATAAAATGTATTTCTTTTGCCCAAGTGATTATTCAGCTTTTCAGAAGTCTGTGCTGTATAGAAATAACTATTTTGAGATGTTAATCTGAATTTTGGGAGAAGTAGTTCCATTATTGTTGTATAACATGCTCTTTAAAATTTTGAGTAAGTGCTGCTTTTTCTCTTAAGGGGTAGCAATTTTTTGTCTAAAATGGCTGTGTGTGTGCAGAGGAACTGTGTCGTGTGCCTTTGGTACCACTTTGGTCATTCCTGTGTGTCATTTTATAGTAGTTTTGTTAGGTGGCGGGACCAAATGGAAAACTGTATATTTTCTCATCACTTTTGATTTTACCATCGTGGAAATGAATGGATTTTTAGCATTTTTAATTATCGTATGTATTTTTCTGTAACATTTAAATAAAATATTTTTATAACTTTCTTGTGCATTTTATTAATAAAACTTTGGAGTAGCTTGTGACTTTAGCTATTAACACCTCGAGTTAACTAAGTAATGAGGGCTCCTCTTCAGAGGTTACCTGCTCTCGAAGGACCTCGTGACCATGGTGTCTGTGCCCCCAGGTGTGGCTGCCCGAGTGTGCCCTGCCGTGGGCGGCGTGGTGAAGCAGGATGCACGCGGTGGCTCTGTTCCCGTGGGGGCTGACCTATCGGCACTTGTGTGGGGGGCGACCAGTCCCTGCCGATGACAGCTGCAGGCCTTCGGTGGTGACTCATGTTTTCCAAGTGCAGACTGGAAATAGTACCTGTCTGTGGGGCTGGTGATACATGTAAAGCGTGGTAACAATTGGAGGAGAAGCTGGAATCTGGGATCAGGGACAGTTGTCTGCCTAGAGACAAGTCGGGTGTCATCGGCAAACAAATGTGACCCAGCGTGGGTGCACAGAGGTGTGATGGGATGCAGAGAGCATCATCTAAAATGGGGAGCAGGGTCAGGCAGCAGTGTGAGGACCCGAGGGGCTCCTGCTGAGGCCGTGAAAACGAGTAGCTGGTCCAGACCTGCTGAGGGGAGCTGGTGGGGCTTGACAACAGTGCCCCGGTGCCTGTGCCCACACATCATCAATCATTTTGTTTTCCTGAATATTTTTGGCTGGAAACCTAGGGCTGGGTTTTTTGGCTTAATCTGCCAAGGGCCAATATGGTGGCCGATGAGGGTGGTGTGGAGATTATCCTGTTACTTAAAGGAGACATTTTAATAAATTTGTTTCAGCAACTTGGTCCCTGCTCATGTTAAATGACTCCTGTGCCTATTATTTATGAGCCTTTTGCTTCTAAGTAGTGAAGAAATGAAACGTGTCAACTCTTCTGCAAGCCAGTGAAGGAGCGGCCCCTTGGAAGAGAAATGCACAGTGGGTTAACAGCTGGAAATCCTTGCATCAGAATCTGGCATGGGTGAGGGCAGCTGTGCTCTGACTGCAGCAGTCAGCGTCAAGACTGAGTTTGGAACCTGGGTTACACCTCTTGCACACGGGCGGCTTGAGTGCAGGGTCTGATCCAGTTGGTAGGTGTGGCTGCCCTAGTTGGACACATCCCCAGGTGAGTCCAGTGTGTAGCCTGTGTGAAGAACCCTCCTCTCCAGGCAGGGTGGGGAGAGACCTCTGCAGAAGCCAGGGCATTGGGATTGGCAGGAACATAAAGGTGACTGAATCTAACCTGGTTTTCAACTGTAGATTTTTTTCTGTGTTTGTACTAGGAATTGAACTCAGGACCTTGCACTAGCCAGGCAGGCGCTTTTGCCATTGAGCTAAATCTCCAGCCTTCCAAATTTAGTTTTCTAAGATAGAAACCAGACTGAAATTGTCCTAAGTCTGCATCTGGGACCCTGGTGGGAAGGGTGTGATTTTTCTTGCGAGTTTGACTCTGGACTTAAACTTCCTGGTTGTATTGTTTTTGTACAGCAAAAAAAGTGAACTCTGGATTCAAAGAGTAACATTGGAAAGGAATGCCAGGGACCATAATGAAAAGAACGGCAGTGGGGTAGTTTGGGAGAGGCCGCAGGGTTGGGTAACAGGAGGTACTGGATGTCCTCTTCAGGGGCTGCTGTTAGGATAATGCGCTTCACTTTTTAAAAACTCATTTTCATGGACTTTGGACTCAGGTGAGTCGGCCTTGGGTGAGAAAGTGTTTTCTAGCTTCTGGCATTGAAAATGCAGAATTTTAAAAAAGGCTGAAATGGCAATAAGAATGTCTTGGTTACTTTTTACTCATCGCTGAGACAAAATACCTGAAGCCCAAAGTTGGGAAAGGAAAGGTTTATTTCTTAGTTTTTGGAGGTTTCAGTCCACACTGAATTGGCTCCAAGGCAAGCGGGCATGGCTGGGCCACAGTTCATGGCTGCAAACAGCAAACAGGAACCAGCAAAGAGCAGGACACACTTTCTTCCTGCCATTACATCACATCCTGGCTCCACCCCTTTGCAGGTGGAGCACAGACAAGCACTAGACAAATAACAAATGCACAATTGGACCTCCTGAGGCCTGGGGGCCACAGACATAAACCATGACACAGGATTATTTCATGTGCACTGAGAATTAATTTTAAAGAAGCAGCACTGAGGTTCTCGGTCAGGGCAGATGGGGAGTTGGAGGATGAGTTGAGCAGACGAGTACCTTGTTCATAAAGGGCCCACAAGGCCTCCCGGTGCAGTTCTGCGCTGGAGGAATAACCTTTCCCCATCCCAGCAGACTGGCGATGTGCAGCGGGTGATTTACTTCTAAAGCAATGTGGGCATTTTGTTCTAAGTACTGCTGCAGCTTTGCTGACCTCTGTACCTCACTTTGAGTTTATCATTGTGCCTTGAGATAGACGGTTCCTATTGGCACAGAAATTTCTTATAACAGCCCCATCTCCAAGTGAACATAAAATGAGGTTTCCTTATGCTCCCCCAGTAGTTACCTCTTTCTTTGGGGGCAGCAAAACTTTGCCAAAGAGTTCTCCATGCTCGTATCTTCCACTGTGTTCCTGTCCTTTAAAGAAAGTTGCATTGTGACATGGATGTGATGGAGCGCACACCGTGTCCCAGCGTGTGTGGTAAAGGGGTCAGGAGGGACCTCCTGAGCTTTGTACGCCCTCAGCCTTGCCCTTCAGTGGCATGAGTGATGGACACACCTGGAGCCCGCTGTCCTTCAAGCCACAGGGCTGCTCAGTTGGGTCCTTGGGTCTTCCTTGGGACCATGGTGACTTTTTCTCTGAGTGCCCGGAGTCCTGTCACCAGTGGTCACTGTAGGCAGCCTCCTGTTGCTTCCCCTCTGGACACTCCTGCTGCACGGTCCAGTTACAGATCACTGCACCACCAGCCACACCCAACCAAAGTGGTTTCAAACAACGGCCTCCCTTTATTCTGCTTAGGAATCTGAAACCTGAGCAGAGCTGGCAGGAGCAACGTGTTTGTGCTCTGGAAAATGCAGCTCAACCTGCGGCAGGGCAGTCTCTGTCCAAAATGGCGCTGGACGGTGGCAGCCCAGCGCTGGTGGAGCTGGATCTCCGTGTGGACCTTCCTGTGCAGCAGCTGGGGATCCTCCCAGCGGAGTAGGTGGGAATGAGGAGTGAGGATTTATTAGCATTTTGTTGTAACATTGCCACAAACACCTCAAGATAGTGGAGACAGGTCCTCGTAGAGCACTGCCTGTGGAAGTCTGGGTGGCGCTTACAGACTGTGTTCCTTTCCAGGCTTGTGGAGAGACCTATTTCCTTGCTTGGCAGAATTCCTGTCCTGGTTGGCAGAATTCAGTCTCACGCAGTTGTTGGACCAGCACCACCGTTTCCCAGCTGGCTGCTGAGTGCGGTCCACGCTCAGCTCCCAGGGGCCTCCTTTCCCCTGGCCTCAGGGCCAGCAGCAGTTTCCATCCCCCTTGTGTGCTGAGCCACCCCTCTGAGCAGTGAACGCAGGGCCTGAGCTTCCCATGTGAACCAGGTATGGTCTGATCCACCAAGCCATGAAGCTGGGCAAGCACAGCAGCAACCCATTATCAGACACAAATGGCCAGTATGGGACACCATCTCCTTGGGGATTAGAACTTCAACCTGTGACTCTTGGAGGAATATCCAGCCCATGTGTTAGTCTTCCTGACTGAACCCTAGACATTATAGAGCTAAGTCAGGTGGTATTTTCTGCTGCTGTAGAGACCAATTCTGAGTCACTGACCAGGCATCTGAACTTAGGCATTCCCCCAGGGGTTAGTGATTCCAGGGGTTAGCGATCCTCCTGCACCCCTTCCGCAAGGAGAGCTGGGAATCTGCACCCATATTCTGTGATTGCAGTTGCCTTTCCTTCTCATCACACTGCAGTGAGCTGCCCCATCTGTACGTTTTACAGGGGGCCGGGGGAGCCTCACCGCTGTCATGGAGTCCACAGAACAACATTCCCTGTGTCCTACACCTTACATCCCAGCAGGAGAAGTGGACTGGGAATCTACTTTGCCTGTGTCTACCAAAAGGTCTGCATAGAAAAAACCGTGACAGTGGAAAGAGAAGCTAAATGGCTCTGGCTCAGTGATATTAGTGTTATTAGTTTTCCCTGTGCTAAGGACAGTATTCAAGAGCTTCGCACTCAACTGCATTCCTAGATTTTCATTTTTATTTTTTACTTGGAGACAGGGTGTTGATAGGTTGCTCAGACTGGGCTCAAACTTGGGATCCCAGAGTGCTGGATCATAGGCTTGTGCCACCCCGCCTGGCTAGCTGGTGGTATCCTATCAGTGTTAATACTGTGTACCACAGAGCATCAGGTGTGAGGGGAGGCTGGGTGGAAGTTAATAGGAATATTCCGCGTTAGTGTTATAGCTCCTCTACATCATTTCAAGAGGAAAAAGGCCTGTGTTGACCTCTGCCAGTGAACAGTCTCCATGGTGGGGGCCTGAAGGAAAGTGCACAAGACACGCTGTGGCACGAATGCCAGCTTCTCCCAGAGCCCTGCCCCTTGCCATTCAAGGACTCCTTGGAGTCTAGGATTAGGCCGGGTCCAGGGACCTGGGAGAGTTTCTGTTTGTCCCTTTGTCTTAGTTACTTTTTACTCATCGCTGAGACAAAATACCTGAAGCCCAAAGTTGGGAAAGGAAAGGTTTATTTCTTAGTTTTTGGAGGTTCAGTCCACACTCAGTTGGCTCCAAGGCAGGTGGGCATGGCTGGACCACAGTTCATGGCAGCTGCAAACAGCAAGACACACCTTCTTCCTGCCATTACATCACATGCTGGCTCCACCCCTATGTGGGTGGAGCACTGACACCATCAATCCAGGCACTATACAATGAACCATCACAAATGAACAATGCAAACTCATGAGGCCTGGGGGACATAGACATAAACCATGACACCCTTGCATGATGCAAGTTGGATTTCTGCTTATCGTATCGAGAGACTTTCCAGCGGCAGAGATCAGACAGTATTTTCATTAACATTTTATTTATGTAATTTATGATTTTTAACGAGTATGCAAAACTGTATACGTTTATTCTGTACAATGTAATCCTTTGAAACGCAGATACATCGACTGGTTAATGGAGCTGATTTGCATATTTTCACTTCACTTTACTTTTTTGTGTGGCACAAACCCTTCTGCTATCAGTATTTTTCAAGAATATCACAGGTTGTTAACTGTAGTCACTGTGGTGTACAGCAGATCACTTGACTTTAACTAAAACTTGTGTCCTTTGACCAAAGCACTTTTGGCATTCAGAAAATGACACTTCCTCGCTTGTCAGAAAGAACAGAGAGCAGGCAAAGGTTGCATGTGGTATAATTTATCACTCAGCTCTGGGAGGCTGAGGCAGAGGCTCACAAGTTCAAGTCTGGCCAGAGGAATTTAGCAAGGCTCTGTCTCCAAAAAAAGAAAAAAGAAACAAAACACAACAACAAAGTGGTGTTATTTGCCACTGGGGACCAGGCTGCCAGGCAGCTCTGGAGCACAAGGATGTAGGGTCCCAGCTGTGCAGCCACCGCCTGGGAAGCTCACTGCCAGATGGAAAGGGAGCTCACGCAGGATGCACAGCTGGCGCCTCTGCCACACAGCAGGTGCTGGGGACAGGAATAGTGTCCCAGGGAAGTTACAACGACAGGCACTTTCCAAAGTGCCCCTGACACAAGCTGTGAGTTTCACGTTGCTGTTTCCAGTGGGTTGAAAAAAGCACAGGCTTAGTGCTAGAGAGAAGAATGAGCCAGATGTTCTTCTGTCTTTAAGGGGCTTGAAACTAAAAATATGGAAGAAGAAAACAGTGATTGGTAAGAAATAGGGGTGATGGAGCCCACAGAAGAAGTCAGAACAGGCAGGTAACTTAGACAGCCTTCTCTTTACTCATCCATGCATTCACTTGTATCTGTCGGTCTATTTATGTATGATTATCTATCCATCTGCCTATCCATCTATCCATCCAGTCATCCCTTTACCACTCATCCACCCATCATCCATCCTTCCATCATCCATCCATCTTTCCCGAGCACCTCCTCTGTGCTGGGCACTGCTGTTCTACAAGCCGGAGAGAGCCAGGAACAAGACAGAGTTCTAATGGAGCATCTGATGCTGTGAGAGAGACTGGCCACGGGTTTGCACAGTGCAGGCCTTGCATTCTGAGAAGGAAAATAAAGCCAGTGGAGGGGACTTGCCCTACACCCTCACTGTCTGCCGAGGAGGCTTGGGCCTGCGCCCTCATTCAAGACCGGTGTGTTTGTGCACCCCTTAACCCACCGTGCCCTTGCTGAGTGCTCATGCTGGCTGGCTCTTGGGGCACAGGCAAGGGGCATGCGCTGGGCCTCAGGATGCCTGGTGGGCAGGTCCCCGAGTCTGATAGGCATCTCACATCCTTTCTGTGTTACTGGCTAGGTCACCTCCTGGCAGGCCCTTTCCACACCTGCACTACCTGATGGCTCTTTCTGCAGGGACCTTGCTTCCTGGCAAGTGGTCCCTCCCTCCTGCCAGCTCCTGCCCCCCAGCCTGGTCCGTGCCCATCTTCAAGGGCAGGGCAGGGCTGTCAGGGGTGTTGGCTCCTGCAACAGTTGCCTTCCAGGCTGTCTGACCTCTCAGCAGCTTCGGAGGGAGGGCGTGGTCTTTCCCTGATGAATTCCCCAGGGCCTGGAACAGAGCCGGGCAAGCACTGCCCGATAGTGTGTGGATCAAATGAAAGAAAGACTTGAAGGAAGGAGTGAGGATGAGGCCTCGGCTTGGCTCTTAGTGGGTCCAAGGCTTTCCTGCCTTCAGCAGTCAGAACCTGCGATTGCAACCAGCTGGGCTCAGTGCAAACCCCAAACAAGTGTCCTTGTTTAAGAGGCCAGGCAACTAGGAGGGTTAAAGCCAGGAGAGCTGGAGTCTTCCAAGCGCCCATCCCAGGATGAGGCCCAGCTCCAGCTGGCGTCAGGACCTCACCTCTCAACCAGAAAGCAGCCTCTTGGTGTCTCCCTAGTTCAGCGACTCCGGAGAGCTAGGAAGTGAATCGCAGTCCCCTATCCCGTAGAGACCCCCCACTGGGATCCTTACCCATGGCGGGAGGGCGAGGGGTGCGCTCTTGCCTTAGGAAGTGGCTCAGGTCACCTGTCTCCCAACACACAGAAGCACCAGACAGACAGGCTGAGACTCCCAGGAATCCCCACCTCACCCCACCGACCCTGGGAACAGCGCATTCTTCCTACCCTGGGTGGGTGTGTGGGTGCAGGACAGAAAGTTGGTGTAGGGACACACAGCCCTACAAACAGTGCACACGCGCGCGCACACACACACACACACACACACACACACACTGGTGGCTCACGTAGACCACAGGCACAACTGGGAGCAACCAGATGGCCGAGGACCTCTGGTTGGCGGCATCCACGCCCTTGCCACCCCTCTAGGTGGTGCTGGCCCCCTCCTTCCTCTTCTCTTCCCCCTCCCCTTTTCCCTTCCCTTCCCGCCCCTTGCAATTCAGGCTGCACCACTGGGCCCTCTATTTCTGGGCTCCGGAGTGGAGGGAGTGCTGGGTCCGCACTAGGGAGGGGTTGCGGGCCAAGGTTGGGGTGCAGGAGAATGGCTCAGAGCTGGAGGAGTCCGGTGTACTGGGCAGAGGGAACGCGGGCCGTGGGTGTCGTGAAACGCGGGCGGGAAGGCGCGCGCACGGGGCGGGGACCTTGTGGGAGGCGCAGGGGCGGGGAGGGGGCGGCAAGGACAGAGGGCATCGGTCCGGGATAGGAGCCAGGAGCCATCCGCGCTGCCGGCCACTGCACCTCGGAACAGCGCGGCGCTGGCTCGACTCGGGAAGATGCTCGAGGGCCTCGGCGCTTCCGCCTCGTCAGCAGCGCCGGCGAGCGCCTCGGAGCCCCCCGCGTGCCCGGTCCCCCGGCGGCGGGGCGCCGCGCGCAGCAGCGTCCCGCAGAAGCTGGCCGAGGCGCTGAGCAGCCAGTACGGGCTGAACGTGTTCGTGGCGGGGCTGCTGTTCCTGCTGGCCTGGGCCGTGCACGCGGTGGGCGTGGGCAAGCGCGACCTTTTGGGCCTGCTCACCGCGCTCATGCTGCTGCAGCTGCTCTGGATGCTGTGGTACGTGGGCCGCAGCTACGCGCAGCGCCGCCTCATCCGGCCCAAGGACGCGCACGCCGGGGCGCGCTGGCTCCGCGGTGAGTGCGCCGCCGCCGCCTGCCTCAGCCTCCCGCGCGCGCTTCCCTTCTCTCCCGAGGCGGGGTGCGTGCTGCTGCCCAGCTCTGGCTTCCTTCTCCGGAGCTGCTGCTCCCCAGAGGTGCGCACGCGTTCCCTGCTTAGAGCCCCGGGGGTGTTAGGGTGCCGCTCTCCAAATAGCCTTAGGTGACCCGTTCCTGCCCTCACCCCGTGCCCCAGCATCTTCAGACTCAGGCCACACAGTGACCCCGTCTGCGTGCTGTCGCAGATTCAGTGCCACCCTCCCCTGGCCTTTCTGTATGCCAAACCCCTGTCATTCCTGGTTCCGACCACGCTGTCCTCCTGCCGTGTCCTGGGTGGACACTGCTGTCCTTGCGACTCCTCAACCCCTCTACTCGCTGCCAGCGGAGCTGAGTGCCACTGCCTCTGGCTTGGTGCAAGTCGGGGCTGAGAATGTGGGGTGATAGTGAGTGGAGTAGTGAGTAGGGGTGTTTGGGACACGGTGACCAGGGCGGTCAGGGCGTCTGCTCTTCAAAGGAGAGTGGAGGTGACGCAGGCCAAAGGGGACTCACAAGATTCGGGACACAGTGGGCAGGCAGAGCTGCGGGAGGGGAGGGGCGCGGTGGAGAAGCCTCTGTCAAGGGGACCTGCGAGGGTGGCACATGTGGCCCTCACGGGACACAGGAGTCCACGGCCCTCTTCCGCTGGGTGCCTGCAGGCCAGGGTCAGCAGCATGGGCTGCCCTGCTTGCTCTTAGGGCCTTCCGGTCCTGTCAGTCTTGCTGTCACTGGCAGGGTCAGTGGGGCCTCATCTTGCCTTTGGGGAAATTGGACACTGCTGCAGGTGGCCCAAAGCCCGGTTCTGAAAACTATTGTGTCAGGAGGTTCCTGGCATGTGACCTTCTGAGCCTGCAGGAAGCCAGGGCCTGTCCTGTAAAAGGCAGAGGAGACAGGACCTTGAGGGTTTTAGTGCACTGATTTATACTTGCAAAGAGTGCCTCAGAGGGCTCCATACTACTTCTAGCAAAGCTCCTTTCTCTGCCTCTCCCTTCTCTTCCTCCTCTTCTCATCCCCTCTCTGCCTGTCTCCCTCCCTCCTTCCCTGCCCCCACCCCCAGCTCCCAGAGCCAGCTCTGAGCACCAGTCATGCTCTCACAGACACTTGGAAACCAGAGCGCAGACAGGGCGGGGACACAGTGCAGGCTGCTGGATGGGCTCCTCAAGGGGAGGGGCACCGGCCAGGGCAGGATGGGTAGAGAGGGGCTGCCTGGCGATGGGTGGTGGAGGCTGTGTGTACCTGTGTGAGTCACCCCACAGTCTCGAGCCTTCAGGCGAGGTGTGTGCACAGTGGAAATGGGGTGGGCCCTGAAGGCGGGCCTTGAGATTGTCCTTGTCATCCTTCTGAGTTCCAGTTTCCTCCTGGACACAAGGCACTCCAGCCACCTCTTGGGGAGGAAACGGAGAAGCAGGGAACGAGTACTGTGCTTGCCTGGCTGTTCTGGGGTGGCCGTGGCTCCAGGGTGAGGCTTGAGGCTTTTAGGACACCAGAGGGAGAGTGAGGTGCCAGGATGAGGTGCTGGAGTCCCCCAGAGATTCACAGCTGGAGAGAGAAGGAGTTGGCCCAGGGGCAGGCGCTGTCCGGTGCTTCTGGAAATTCTGCTCAGTCTCCTGTGCTACAAAGGCCACCCGTGGAATGCTGGCCGGGACCAGAAAAGATTCCATTCTTCCTCATGGGTGTGCAAAATGAAGACTTTCTTTCTAAGAACAGAAACAAAAATTGATCTATGTAAAATAAAGTAGCAAGGATGGGTTATTAGCTTAACCTCTCCTGTTTGCTAAATAAAGGGTTTGATTTATTTTAGAGGGGACAGAAGCCTGGTTACACTCACAATGTATATGGTGTGAGACCTGCAATGTACCAGAAGTTAAATGCCCCCTTAAAAAATGCCCCAGCTAAAAAGATGGGGTGACAGCCAGGCGTGATGGTGCACACTTGTAATCCTAGCACTTAAGAGGCTGAGGCAGGAGGATCACCATGAATTTGAGGCCAGCCTCAGCTACATAGTGAAACCTTGTCTGAAAAAAAAAAATAGTGTGGCAAAGTTGAGCATCTTTTTAAAAAATTGTTTCTGCCCTATATGAAGGCCAAATGAAGTTTTTTTCATGCAGAGCTAGGGGACAACAATGAGAGGGGTTACAGCCACTTTCACTGAGTGCATGTGGCAGATGCAGTATGAGCACTGACCCAGCCCTTTTTCTTTTAGTGAGGACAGTGTACAGGCAGTTAAGGGGGTGAGGTCTGGGGCACCAGAGGAGGAGGCAGTCAGGCAGGTCCCTGGGCACCCCAGCTGACACCTGCTGACTTCTGGGCAGAGACAGCACCTCTGTGAGCATGGAGCTTCGCCCTGTTTCTCCCTCTGCACCGGGGTGCCCGCCCTGCTTTCCTGCAGATGCGGTGTTCCCTCAGGCTCTGTCCCTCCACCGGTGTGGCACACTCATGCTCCATGTCACAGCTTGATCTGAGGTGTGCAGGTGTGGTTTTGGTACATGCATAGACCCCGGCAACCTCATGGCTCTTGAGACTCTTCTTAGCAGTTCCGGAAGAGACCCCCGGTTCAATAGGCCCCATTCCCTTTGCAATGCCGTCTCCTGTTGGGTTCTCAGGGAGGGGGTGATTTCACTGTCTGCCTGTGAGGGAGGCAGCTGCAAGGGCTTCTGGGGGAGGACCAAGAGCCATGCTCAGCCCCCTTCTTGCCTTGGTTTCCATCCTGGGAGCACGACCTTTGACCCTGGCAGAGGGCAGCAGGGAGGAAGCCTTACCTGGCATGGAGGGCTGGGCTGTGCCCGGAGCGAGCGCCCACAGTGCCCGCTGGCCCTGGGTAGGGAAGGATTTTGGGGCCTGGCCCAGCACAGAGTGCAGGGAGGGTAGGGGAGGGCACGGGGTGGTGCTTCCCTGCCTCAGTTTCCTCATCTGTAAAGCAGGACGATGGTGCTGTCCGCACGCAATTGTTCTCAGACACCATGACCTTGCTCATACACAGCACTTAGCCCTGCTCAGCACACAGCAGGAGGAGCCTGTTCCTGTCAGGAAGTGAGTGAGCCAGGAGTGTGAGGCTTGCCATGTGGGCAGGCGCGGAGCCTGGAGGTGAGGACTTGGGGGTGAGGAGCACTGAGGGGAGTGCAGGGGTGTGGGGGGCTCTGCCTGTGAAACTTGCACTGCAGGCTCTGGCAGTGGTTTTGTCCACTGGGCCACAGGGGGCAAAGGAAGGCTTTGGAGGAAGAGTGATGGGGGGTCTTTGCATTTGAGAGTGGTCACTCTGTCTGTAGGGCGGGACCTGTGTTTAAAGAGAACGGGACAAAGGCCCAGAGTTGTGTTAGAATCCAGTGGACTTGGGATGGCTATGTGTTGGAGACCACTACCAAGCTGCTCTGAGCAGGATTTAAATTTTACTAACTGGCTTTCTATGTTTATCTGTGAGTCTGTCCTAGGCCTCGGCCCCTTGCCTGGTGACGAGAGCTGATTCATAGTAAGTGAACTTCTATGAATCACTGGTCCTGGCTGAGGCCTGTAGTGGCCTGTGAGGCCAGAGAGACCTCAAAGGGCAGGATAAGGGCACAGCTGCGGACAATCTGGCTCCAACCCCAATTAACAAGACAGAGACTGCAGCTGCAAAGATTACTGCTACAGTCTCACTTCTACCATGTCTTCATGACAAGACAGTGCTACTGAACTGACTTGATTCATGACTTGGAGACGTCCTTGAAGTGACCCCCAAGGTCTTGCTCATTGCCTGCACTTTCCTCAGTTTCTCCGCCCGCCCTTTGTCCTTGGTCCTAATATAAGTGGACTGATCCAGAGAAGCTTTTGTCTTTACCCTCAATGTCTCTCGCTTAATTAAAGGGTTTTGACTCTCCTGGAGCCCTAAAAATCATACAATTTGTCTTTTTTAATTTAACCTCAGCCATACACTCGTTTGGGAGATCGGGGATCTAGGTCAGAACCTGCTAGCTGTGCTCTCGGGAAAGCAGCCCTCAGCTTCAGAAATGATGCTATTAACAAGAGAGTGAAGGCAGCTGAGCAACCACAGACGTGGCATGGCTGGGGGCAGACAGGACAGGGGTCCCAACACCCATCCTGTGGTCACTGGGACAGTCCTGCCTAGCCGCGTGCATTTTCTTCCTGCGTGGGATTCCTGTTCTAGCCGAAAAGATAAACAGTGTCAGGATCTCAACAGTAACAGGAGGACTGTCAAAAATGTGGGTGCAGTTTGCATCATTAGGTGGTATGTGGAGGGGGCCACCCTTCTTCGTGTCCTGTTGATACCTTAGCAGAGTGCTCACAGGGGGAAGGAAAGAATGTTCAGTTCAGAAAGGAGAAAGATACAGCCAGGCGTGGTGGCACACACACCTGCAATCCCAGCAATGTGGGAGGCTGAGGCAGGAGGATCTCAATTTCAAGTCCTGTTAACTTAATGAGACTCTGTTTAAAAAAAAATTTTTTTTTTAAAGTAGTGAGGATGTAGCTCAGTGCATAGGTCCTGGGTTTACTCTCCAATACTATGCCGGGGGGGGGGGGAGAGATTGAGACACAGACACACACAGAGAGAAAGAGGGGGCAGTGAGAGCTTTGACTTTTGGCAATGACAGTCACCCAGTTACCAGCAGTAACGCAGTCACTCAGGAAGCCTCTGCTGATACCTCAGCTCAGGTGTGGCTCTGCCTGTGCTAGGTGGTGTTTCCTGGTGACTGGTGCTCGGGCCCACAGATCCTGGGCTCCAGCAGGCCCAGATGCTGTGGGGACACTCTCCCCTGGGACCCAGGCTCCCAGCAGGGCTGTATACTGTGGAGTAAGCAACCCGCCCAAGGCTGGCTGGACGGGCGGAGGTGCTGTGGCTGACCAGTGACAGCTCTGAGGGGCTGGCCATGGCTTGGTAGAAGGAAGTACCTTCCTGCAAGAGTGCAGAGTGGTGACAGAAGTGTGTACAGGGAGAGACCATGGCCTCCGGTCTTGTGGGTCTGGGAGAGACCCCAGCTGCTGGCCAGGATGCCCAGGAGACATATCTGCATTGGCCTCCTACCTTTAAGGGCTCCTGGGAGGGACTCAGGTTTTCCTTCCCAGCACTGGATGGGACCCTGGGTGACTGCTGGTTCTTGTGATCACTACCAATTCATGAATCTTTTCTTTGGGGTTGAACCATGAGATGATAATGATGATAATATCCCATTTGTAGAACTTTCTAGGTATGGGACACTGTCCCCAGCAATTTCTCTGTGGTGGCCTATTTAATCTCCTCTATACCCTTACAGGCTAGGCTTTACCATCATCATGCCCATTTTACAGAGGAGGACACTGAGGCACAGGGGGTGTCACCCCCTTGAGGCCACACCCCATGATATCATCCTTCAATTAGGCCCCGCCTCTTAAAGGCACCACAGTGCTTCAGCCTCACCAGGCTGCCCTGCAAGCTTTCATGGCATGAAGTTTTGTGGGAGGCAGTCAAACCATGTCCAGGCCATAGCTGGAGGACTCCCTGAATATTTGTTGTCGATATAAGTGGGTGAATGAATGTATTTGAGGAAAGGGGACCTTACCAAGAAGATAAAAAGGTGTACAAAGTATTTATATCATCAAAACTGCTAGACCCGTGTGGAGCCTCAGACCAGCCACATCAGCCACACCTGCGATGCAAATTCAGGGTTCCACCCCAGCCCTACTGAATCAGGAACTCAGGGTGGAGGGTGGGGCCTGGCCACATGTGCTCTCATGCATCAGAGGGAAACTGAGGCTGAGGGCAAAGCCGTGATGTGTAGGGGTCACGCAGCTGAATGCTGGTAAGCTGTGGCTCCAGGACCAGGTCCCTGCCTCCCCAAGTCTGCGTCCTCTTGTCTTGTTACCCTTCCTGTTCTTCTGTTTCCTTGAGGTCAAAATGCACCTTGTATTGATGAGTCCATCTCCGGGCTCCAGGGGTTTCATCAAGGTTTCCCCAGGGTTTAAGGAAATGTGACTTAGGGTTGTTTGCGTCAGGCTCCCAGCCCTGGAAAGCAGCCAAGTGGTTGTGTTATTGTCACTGTTTGTCCCACGCGGGAACGCAGTTGCTCCTGCCCTGCCCGCCCTGCTCCTCGCCCCAATGTACCACTTACGTGATCCGGTCCCACGTGCTGGGCAGGGACGTGTGAATGGCTGGCACTGTTGGCCGGGACGGATGAGGAGTGGTGACCCTGACGCTCCCAAACCCCGCACAGCTTTTGTCTCATTTATTTTTTCCTTGCTGCAGTGTTCTTAAATGCATTTTGTATATTCCTCCCTGGGCTTTTTTCATATGTACATTTGTGGTTTGTCTTTAGTGACAGGGTCAGAACCAGGCTTCCACTGTGCAGCGGGCACCATGTCTGTGGGCTCGTAACCACAAGGTCAGCCAATGCAGGTGCAGGGTAGCAGGAAGGACCCTGTCTTTGCAGGGCACCTGCACAGATTTCACAATTCAGCACAGTAGCTATTTGCATAGCACTTACATGGTATCAGGTAATATGAATAATCTAGGGGCGAGCTCAGGTATACAGGGGGACGTGCACAGGTGCTACGCAAATACCACCTCAGCTTATACTGGGGACCTAGGCACCCTCAGACTTGGGGCATCCTGGGCAGGTGCCCTGGGGAGGGTCAGGGTGGGTGTCATTTGCTACACTCTGGTTATGCATAAGGGTACAAAGCCTAGCTTTGAGTTTCAGCTTATCAGCCTAATGATAGAACTTATTTTATTAATATATTCAAAGCTTATTAATCATCGTGAAATAGACACAAGGTGAAAGTTGGCAACTCGATCAATTTCGTGTGCTGCTCTGCAGTGCTGAGCACGTTTAAACAGCCCACCACCGTTCTCATTGCTTCTTGCAAAGCACAAACCCGGCTGCGATAAACATCAGCTCCCGCCTACCATGTCCCTAGATCCGCCTTTTGCTTCCTCTCTTTCTGAGTCTGAGTACTTCTCAGAAGTGCTGTGGTACAGTATCTGTCCTGTAACTTGTTCTTGCCACTTAGCACGGGGCCCTTGAGGTTCCATCACACGGTAGAATGTGTTAGAATTTCCTCCGTGGGCATAGACTTCATTTTCTTTATCCATCCCACTGTCAGTGGATGCCTCATTTGCTATGATAGGGTGAAGCTCTGGTATGAAAATTGGTGCCCCTGTTTCAGTTTTTTTGGGGTTTATACCCCAAAGTGGAATTGTTGATTCACAAAGGAAATAGTTTAATTTTTTTGGAGAACTTCCACACCATTTTCCATAGTGGCCATATCATTTTACACTTCCACCTGCAGTGCTCAAAGATTCCACTCTCTGCATGCCCTTAGCAACATCAGTTATTAGTATTATTTTATTAGAAGCAGTCCTACTGGGCATGTGGTGGAATTTCATGGTCCTGGTTTGCACCTCTACTGTGACTCCTGATGCCGAGGGTTTTCTGTGTGCTCACTGGCCATCTTATGTCTCGGAGGAAGGCCTGTGCAACCCTCTGACTGTTTTTAATTGTGTTGTTATTGAACTATAGGTGTCTTTATGTATTGTGGATCCTAACAATCTACCAGAGATTTAATTTGCAAATATTTTCTCCCATCCCATGAACTGCCTTTTTCCTCAGTTGATAGTGTTCTGTGATGTGCAGAATTCCTCATTTTCATATTTTTAATTTTTTTGCTTGAATTTTTGTTGTCAAAGCCAAGAAATCATCACCTAATCCAATGTCATGAAGTTTTCCCCTACATTTCCTTCTAATAGTCTTGTGCTTTTAGCTTTGATAGATCTTTGATTGACTTGATTTAATTTCCACATAAAGTATAAAATAAGGGTCCAACTTTATTTTAAAAATTCACGTAGGTATTTGTATATGTATTTATTTACTTGAGACAGGGTCTTGCTGTATAGTGCATGCTGGTCTTGAACTCGCTATGTAGCCCAGGCTGGCCTTGAACTCACAAGTGATCTTCCTGCCTCAGCTTCCCGTGTGCTGGGATGACTAGGCCTACCCCACCACAGCCCTCTTAGCTTCACTCCTTTGCATGTGGGTATCCTGTTCTTCCAGCAGCATTTGTTGAAAACCCTGTCACCACCCATCAGGGGATTTTGGCACCCTTGGCAAAAATCACGCGGTCACGCATATGCCAGTTTACTACACTTTATTTTGAACTGAGGTCCATGCGTATTGACACGCGCCCGTCTCCCCATTCAGGCAGTGTCACCTTGTTCGCAGCCATCACCGTCATCCTGGGATGCTTCAAAGTTGGCTACTTCATTGGCTACTCCGAGTGTCTGTCGGCCACGGAAGGAGTGTTTCCTGTCACCCACGCGGTGCACACGCTGCTGCAGGTAACTCGTGGGTACTGCTCCCTCTGTCTTTGTTTTGTAAAGTCTGTCCTGAGACCACGCAGCCCTGTGACAGGAGACATCTGGCCAGGAGCGCTGTGCCAGGCCCAGGTGGCTTGGGCTCTGTCTCTGGGGCTCTGTCCTGCAGCTGGCCTCACTGTGAAGCAGGACTTTGTGCCCTGGCTTTCTTTGCAGGAGTCCTGTGAAGCAGACTGCATCAACACGGGGAGGTACAGCCAGCAGGAAAGGCTTGGGCATTTCATTTTAGATAAGCTGGGTGTGGTGGTGCACACCTGTAATCCCAGATCTCAGATGACCAGGAGAGTTCCCAGATATTTGAGGCCAGCCTGGGCCACACAGTGACTTCTAGTCTAACCTGGGCTACATAGCAAGACCCTGTCTTACAAAAAAACAAACAAACAAACAAACCGACCTCAACACTCAGATGGGTCCTGATGTAACGTCATCCTTAGCAGAAATTCCTTGTCGCCACTCTGAGAGTTAGAATGATCCATACTTCTGTAGTATCGTAGGGTGTGTGAAGCGGTTTGCATTTATCTCTGTAAAATCCTCCCATCCGTTCTACAAGAACAGGGTTGACTTCACAGTAGCCAGGGTACGGAGCAGCCCAGGTGTCCAGTGATAGAGGACTGAATAAAAAGAATGTAGCATGTCTACACAGAGGAATATCACTCCCCTACAAATGCTGAAGTCCTGTCTGTGGCAGAAACACGGCTGGAACTGGAGGGCGGTATGTCAAGTGGGGGGAGTCAGACAGAACCAGGATTGCGGCATGTTGCCACTTTGATCTCATAGAGGTGGAAGGTAGGACATATTTACCAGAGCCTGGGAAGGGACAGGGAGGGAGGCTACCAGAGGAAGCTTAATGGGTCCAGGGGCAGCTGGGAAGGAGGGACACTTCTAAGGTTCTGGCATAGCAGAGGGACCCCGGCTGTGTCAATTAATTGGCTATTTAAAAATAGCTATCAGAGAAAATCCTGAGAGCTCCCAACAGAGAGATCTGAGGGGGCTAATGACCCTGATCTGGTCATTACACATTGTGTACAGGAAAAGAAATGTCACACTGTGCTATATAAATATGTACGGCTCTGCCCACTAATAAAACTGTGTCTAAAAATGATTGGGTATTGGACTGTCCCTCTTGTTTTTCCTTTTTCTTATATATTTAAGGTGTAGAGCATGAAGTTTTAATGCACACACACAAAGTGATCTCTGTGGCAAGCAGACGACTGTTCCTGCTCTTTCCTGTCTTTCCCTTTGTTCCTCCTTTGCTTCCTCCCTTTTTCTTTTCTTTTGAGGTCCCAGCACCTACATTCAGTCTCCCTGCACGTTTCCAGCTAGTGTAGGGAGCCTCAGGGCCTGCGCAGTGTGTCAGGCTCTAACCCAGCACTCTACTGCCTGGGCAGCTGGGCACCCATGACGCTGCTCCTTCCCATCCCTCCGCTGTGCTCTACATTCCGTGTCTTAGTTTTTGATCCTGCCTTGGAGTGAACTGGCCCATGGTCTCTCTGTGCCTAGCTCCTGTCTCTTCACAGCGTGTCCTCAAGGTCCACCAAGTGGCCTCCATTCAGCCTTATGGTTTTCCAAGGACGAAGTCAGGGCTCAGCAGGGGTGAGTGGCTAGCTTCAGTTGAGGCCAACGTGCAAAGATGGATTCCTTCTCCGAGGTGCAAGGGAGGCCATGAACTCGAACCAGTGACACTGTCCTGGCTCACATACTTCTGGACTCCCAGCCTGAAAGTGTCCCTTCAGAGACAACTCCCATCTCTAGGAAGGGAGAGGACCCATTTCCAATGCTGTCTTGGTCCGTGCTGTGCTCATTGTGTGCCCCCGTTGACTTGGTGGACAGCACTGCTGGCCTGCAGATGTCTCTGTGGGAGTGGTCACATCCTGGTGTGGTGACAGTGGCAGGGCAGGACTGGCCAGAGGGAGATGGGGTGCAGTGAGCTCAGTGCAAGATGGTGGCCTGGGTTATGTGCTCGCCAGGGGCCTGAGAGGTACGGGCTGCATCTTGTGCCTAGTGCCTCACATGAGGCCCTTCCAGGGGAAATGTGAAGGTGAATGAGGTCGTGCATCTGGGCCCTGATCCAGCACACCCAGTGTCCTCATGAGAGTGGCGATCAGGACATGCACAGAGGGACAACGATGTGAGGACACAGTGAGGGCACTGTCCACCCGCCAAGGAGAGAGGCCCAAGGAGGAACTGTGCCTGCCAGCACTCTCACGTGGGACCTGTGGCCTCCTGTGCTGTGGGACGAACTGCAAACTGCTGTGGGTGCTACTCGTGGGGACGACTTTAGAGTTCACTGGGACCCAGGGTCCCAGATTCTGTAGAGGCTACAGTGGGAGAGTCTCTCGGTGATGCTGGTGATGGTGTGCAAAGCCTTCGTGAGGCCAGGAAGACATTCATTCATTCATTCATTCATTCATTCATTCATGTGCTCCATCCTCAGATGCCAGTGCTGGGAGTGCAGGGTGGAAGCCATGGCCTGGGCCGGCATGGGGTCAGATGGGGACAGTTAGGCAATGATGGGGCCATGTAGCTCGGGCTGTAGGGTACAAGTGAGGACGCCCCGAGGAGGTGCCCCTGCAGCTCGGGATGAGAGTTGGCATCTGCAGTAATGGGAGACAGTGGTGCAGGTCAGAGAGCACCCAAAGGGGACACGTGGGTCACATGGTCCTCTTGTGTGAGGCTGTGGGGGAGGCTGGGAGATGGGCAGGGATGCAGGAAGGTGGGGTGGCCTGGACCCTAGGATCTCAGTCACTTGGCCCAACTCTGCTGGAACTGCACCGGCAGTGGCCCTGCAGGCGAGCTCCTGTGCCTCCCTGGCCCTAATTCGTGCTCTGGAGACCCGCACGGTACCCACTTCCTGGGCTCGTGAGGCTGACAGACGCCGGTGCAGGGAAGCCCGTTGCACAGGACTTGGCATGCAGTGCGGGTCAGTCAGGGCCAGTGGCTACAGGAGCTTGCGCCTCGTCCCGGGGGCCTGGGAGTCTCTGAGGGCCTCAGGCAGAGGAATGACCCAGATGAACAAATTCTCAAAACATGATTCTCACTGGTGGGTTGAGCATCTTTCTCATTTAAGATATTTTATAAGTCAGAAGGCTTGGCATTCTATGCTTATAGGGCACTTCCCTTTGCTGCCCAAGGTGACTGGAGCACGGGAGAGAATTAATTAATAATTAATTATTGGTTTTTATGTTTTTGAAGACAGGTTCTTGCTGTGTAGTTCAGGCTGGCCTCAAGCTAACCAGAGCCTCCTTCCTCAGACTCCTGAGTGCTGGGATGAAAAGAAAATATATTAAAAAATATATATTAAATTGTAGTAGATACTCATGCTGTGTATGGCCTTAGCCATTTTAGACCTGTGGTCCTGTAGTGTCACACATACTTGTGTGCTGTGAAACCGTGACCTCTATCTATTCCCAGGGCTTCCTGTCTTCTGGACTGAGTCTTGGTCTCCTCTAAATGCTGTCTCACCCCACCCCGGCCGGGCACCCCCTTCCGACTTCCTGCCTTGGTGGGTGAATAATCCAGATTGCTCGGTGCTACGTACTTGTCCTTTGATGACTGGTTGGCACAGTGTCCTGGTCTGGCCACGCCACGTGGTAGCTCCTGTGAGCATCGCTTCCTGTGGAGCCTTTTTCTGTCCCATGAGTCCCTGTGTGCTGCATGGAAAGCTGACATTCCTCATGACATCCCCTTTCTCTCTCCTGCCCTCTTCTTCCCCCCTCTTAGTCCCCTTCCCATCTGAGAAAGACCTGCTTCCTTACTTTCTTTCACCGGTCTTTCATTCCACTCTTTCTTCCTATTATGATTTCTGTACTTTGGGAAATGCTGTGATGTTTAAGCTCGTGTGTCCGATTCATTTCACTATACATGGGAGCCTCAGGGCGCATCCCCTTTCCTACAAACCACTCAAATTTACTTTTCTTTAAGGGCAGAGCCATGTGCCCTGGTGTGTAAACACCACGTTCTCTCCACGCACTCATCTGTGCGTGGTCATCTGTCAGCAGGCCCTGGGCTGTGGCCTGCATTTGGCTACTGTAAGCAACGCTGTTGTGAGCTCGATGTGCAAAGACCTTTTTGAGAATCTGCTCTTGATCCTTTGGGGTATAGATGCAGAATGGGGTCACTCCACCCCTAGTAATTTAAAGATCAATATCCAATAATCAACTTTATTTCTGCACACTAGCAATGAACAAGTCAAAAACAGAATCAAGAAAACAATTAATTTACCAGATCACCAAAAAGCCAGGGTCACATGTAGTCCTAACTACTTAGGAGGCCGAGGCAGCAGTGTCACCTTGGCCAGCATCCGTACCCTACTGAGCTCTCCTTAAAAAGTCCGTTTTATCTTGCTAGTACCGGTCTGTCATTCACATGGTGTATGGTGCTGTTGGGCAGTGCCCCATGGACATATTACAGCTCATTTCTTTTCCCTCCTGCTCCCCTCCAATGGTAATTTTTTTAAAAGCACTTATTTTAAAATATAATGTAACCTTACAGAAAATATATTGGAAAAGAAAATAACAGTGCAGTGTAAAGCTGTCAGTGGAAACTGGCATTTCTTACTGTTTTTATTTATTCCCTTTCCTCCGGCAATAAGGTGTACAGTCTGGACAAGCCTTTAGGTGGAGGTGTACAGTTTTCTATTTCAGGTTGTTCATTTAAAAATCATAACTATTTTATGTTCCTCTGTACAAACTAATGACAGCTTTCCCACTGACGTGTTTTTTGTTCTTTTATTCCATGCAGGTGTATCTTCTGTGGGGCCACGCAAAGGATATTATCCAGTCTTTTAAAACACTGGAAAGGTAAAAGCTGACATACCCCAGGACTGTGTGTGTGGCTCAGCGGTAGACACTGAGACACTGCCCGAGTCCTGATGCCCAGCCCTCCTGGTACCAGGAAAGGGGCTGCTGCCTTGGCCCCTTGCTTGGCCAGCCAGACTGATCCAGGGACCAGGGGTTAGGATTTGCTTTAGAGAAGACCCCTGGCTCTGTCATCTCTCCACGAGGACTAGGAAACTCCTTTCCTGCTGCTTAAGGTGACAGCTGGTGTTTGAAGACTGGTTTCGGTATGGCCACTGGGTGGAGGTTTCAGTGGGCTGTGGAACCAGAAACAGATTCCTCCAATCTCTAACAAAGCCGACTCCATGCTGGCAGGTGCTGGGTGTCTTCCAGCACCAGTGGTGAGCAGGGGTGGCGGCTGGAGCTGATGCTCCTTGTTCTACATGGGGGCAGCGAGTGGCCCTTAACTCCAGCCTTGCCGTGAAGCCCAACTTCCTGCGTGGGGACACCAGGGGAGCAGGCAGAAGCGTGCACCCATGCTGCTTCCTCTGACGGTGGGGAGCAGGCATGTGAAGTCCGGGACCCTCAGCACCACCAGAGGTGACTTAATTGTCCTTCAGAGCAGGAAAAGACCTCCACCCCGTCACCAGCACATTTAACCCACACAGGCAGCTTGTCTGCCTCCATGGCTGAGACTGAAGTTCTAGCAGGCTGGGAGCCTTGTCCCAGATGCCAGAGTGTAAGAGGAGGCCTGGTTCCCCCTGGGGGTGTCTCCTTTCCTGTCCCAGGATTGGGGCGAGCAGGGGCACTGCTGGCCCTCCCTCCCTCCTCCAGGCCACCTTGGTTTCAGGCTGCAGGGCGCTGCTGGCTGCTACTGTCTCAGGCTGTGGTTCTGCTTCAGCTGCTGTGAAAAGTTATTCCTTCAAAACAGCACCGTTAGCTGGTGTGAGTCTGCACACCTGTGATCCCAGCTCTCTGGGAAGCTGAGGGAGGAGGATGGAAAGTCTGAGGCCAGTCTGGGCAGCAGAGAGAGCCTGTCTCAAAATAAAAACAATAGAGAGAGATGGGGATGCAGGTCCAGCGAAGACCCTGGGTTCCATTTCCAGTACTGCAAAAGGCAAAGCAAAGCAAACAAACCAACCAGCCACATGCTTTTTCCTCCTAATGAAACTTGTCGGCTGCAGCAGAGTCTGACACTCACCCCACTGCCTCGGTGCTGGACCGGATGCTGCGGCCTTTCAGTCTCGTAAGGGGAAGCTTTGTCTCCCAGTGTGATGGTGTTTGAGGGTCTTTGGGAAGTGAGGGGCCAGATGGTCATGGGGGCGGGGCCCATGGTGAAGTTACTGTTTTCAGAGAAAGAGGGGAGACCAAGTTGTCTCTCTTTGGAAGAGAAGCTCTTAGGTCGAGGTGCCAGCAGGGTTGGTGTTGGGTGAGGGCCTTCTTTTTGATTTGCTTAGAACCACTTTCTCACTGTGTTCTACATGGTGGGGGGGGGGGAGAGAGAGAGAGAGCGAGAGAAAGAGAAAGAGAGAAAGAGAAAGAGAGCTCTCCAGTGTCTCTTTCCCTTCTTACAAAGACATACGGACAAATGGGCTCCATTCCTGAAAGGCTCTGTTTCCAAACATCGTCACATAGGGGTTGTGTTCCTCAGTTTTCCCTTGCTGGGACAGAATACCCGATACCCATGATAAAAAGGAGAGGTTTACTTTGGCTCATGGTTTTGGAGGGTTCAGTCCATGGTGGACTGGTTCCCAGGCGGTAGCACCATGACAGAAGGGTTGGTAGTGCAAAGCTGCTTAGCTCCAGGCACTTAGGCAGCACAGCAGGGGAACAGTGCAGAGGAAGGGACCAGGGAACCCATATGGACCTCAAAGCCACCCTTCCGTAGCCCACCGAGACACACCCAGGGATGCCTGGGTGGCTCTGAAGCTGACAAGCAGTTTGACAATCCAGTTTAGCTGTCACAGGGGATAAGGGTTTCAGCACAGAACTTTGGGTCATGGTACAGTACTTGGTGAACACCTCTAGTGAAATATACTCTTGAACACATCTAGTTGTTTTCTTGGGCGAAGTTGCTGGAGGTGGAACTGTTGGAACAAAGGCAGAGATGTCCCAGCGAACACACACTGAGCAGCTGGCTGGAGACCAGGCACCCCAGGCTGTGGTGCTTCTGTCACCACCAGGAAAGTAGAGAAGCACTTTCTTGACTCATGTGACCTCTGAGGTCCTCTCTTGCACTCGTCCTGCCCAGTAGGGACAGTAGATATGACCATGACCCCATTTAGCAGGTGAAAGAGCAGAAACTCAGAGCCTGGGTGCCAGGCTGAGGCCACGCAGCTTGCTTGGCACAGCTGTGTGCCCTTGGTCATTGCCCTGACTGCTGCTGAACCCACAGTGCTAGGGTGACCATGGTGGCCAGTGGGGCATGCCAGGAGCTGTCTTTCCCTTCACTTCAGCTGGAGGCCTAATCAGGACATTGGGCATAGTTCCCTGGATGGAGCTGTCCCTGTCCTCACCTTCTAGGTCCGCACTGTTGGGTGTGGCAGCCGCTGGTCCTCTAGGGCTGCTGGATGAAACCTAGATGGAAAACCTCTCTGTGGGGTTTTGTGGTACTGATTATCTGTTGCTGTGATGCCACAGCAGATACACTGGGTTTAGCAGAATAGTGTTATGATCGCTTTCACTTGATCCTTTGTACTATTTTTGTTTGTTTGTCTGTTTTTGGTATTGGGAATTGAACCCAGGACCTTCACACTGATTACATTACATCCCAGCCATTTGTATTTTTTGAGACAAGGTCTCACCAATTCATCCATTGCCCAGGCTGGGTTTGAACTTGTGACCTCCTGCTTCAGGTTCCTGGAAGGCTGGGATTGTAGGTATGTCACATCATGCCTGGCCCTCTTTACCATTTTGAAAATGACACCTGTGGGTCCCACCTGAGTGCTGCATGGTGGTGTGGTTGCACCATGCTGCTGATGCACCCAGGTATTGATCCTGAATCTGAGTGGGACTGGGACACAGCCCTGTGTGGCCCTAGGGGGTGAGTGACTGGGGTGCCAGTTGTCCTTCCCCTGAAACTGGAGGGCAGCCTTTGGTCCCATGGGGACTTCACTTCCCTCAGTGTTTCTGCCTTCAGGGAGCCGCGGCTGCATTCTCACCTCACCCCATCTTTATAGCTGGGACTGGAGGTCTACAGATGGTGGGAGGTGTTCAGTCCCAAAGGTGCATGGTGCCCAAGGGCCAGAGCTGGGCCAGAGATGCCCTGTAGATGGGGATTGGCTTCCCCTATGTCACAGTCCCTGCCCCTGTAACCTACCTTTTCTCACAGAGGGCTTCTGAATGTGCTGCTTGACTGCACTGTCTTCTGGCTGTTTGAGCCAGCACCCTCTGTCCTACCTTAGTACGTGCAAGAAGGCTCCTCCTGAGCTAGGAATTCCCTTTGTGGGCTTGAATCCTTTCCTGTCCCCAAAGATGTAGGTAGAAGGACAGTGGTTCTCACAGCAGAGCTGGAAAACAGGTCATGATTAGAAATGGCTGTGAAAAGCAGGTGTGATGGTGCACACCTGTAATCCCAGCACTTGGGAGGCTGAGGCAGGAGGGTCCCCGACAGTCTGTGGTCAGCCTGGGTTATATAGAAAGACCTTGTCCCACCACCCCCTAAAAAAGAAACACTTTACAGAAACCTGCCCTCAATGCTCTCTGGGGGTATAGATGCCAAGCGTGGGGGGGCCCTCAAAAGGGAATGACCTCTGTCCTTGGCTCGTAGGACCTTTTTCAGGGCTCTAGGGAGCAGGCATAGTGGGACATATGTCAGATGTGGGGGACACCAGGGCCACTGCCTCAGGCTCATTGGCCCTGCATTGGACGGTGCCACCTGCCCGGGAGGAAGAAGAGAAGGAAGGGCAGTGCCTCGCATTATGAGAGAAAGAAAAGCCCGGGCTGGGCAAACAGCACCGTGTGCTCTGCTGAGAGCTCTGCAGGTTGCCTCCCTCACACCAGGGGGAGGGGCTGCGACCTGCCCTGTGGCCGGAAGGGAGGTGAGAGGGGCAGGTGGGCAAACACTGGCCTGGCTTCTGTCTGTCTCCTGCTGTGCCTGGATGTTAGCAGCCGACAGGGCAGCCGGGATGGGATGGGGGAGGTGCTGCCATGGGAGCTTGGGGGGTCGGGGGGGGGCAAGGGGGCAGCCGGCAGGTGGGAGACACTGTTGTGTCCTTTGTCCTGGGAGCTGCTCATAAATGGGTACGGGGACTGGCTCTTGCTTAGCCCGTGGTGGTGGGGAACATAGGTCCTCTGGGCCTCTGCACTCCAGGTTCAAAGCAAGCAGCTCTGTGGGAGGCTCAAGGAGGCCTCTCTCAGGTCACAGGGCTCAGCCTGGGTTGTGCTGCTGGTTAGGCTGGAGAGTCAGGGTAGGGTTAAGCTTAACCAGTAGGGGTAGGCATTACGGTTAGGGTTAGGGTTAGGGTTAGAGGATGAGGGATAGGGGCAGGTGTAGGGTTAGGGTTAGAACATTGGGGTTAAAATTAGGGTTATGGTTATGGTTATGGTTAGGGTTAGGGTTATGGTTATGGTTAGGGTTATGGTTATGGTTATGGTTAGGGTTGCAGGGTTAGGGTTGTTGTCATGGTTCTATGGTTAGCCGTAGAGTTAGGTTTATAGGATGAGGGTCAGTGTTAGGGTTAGGTGTTGTGAATTAGCATTAATGTTGAAGTCTGACTCTGTGTAAAGCTCAGTGCTGTTGTTCCAGATATTTCTCTTTTGAATTCAGCTTAAGCTTGCTTGTAGTGGACACTGAAGAGAAACAGCAGTCATCAAGGGCCTTTGTGTCCTATGTCTTCCTCCCCACAAAGCTCCTGTGTTTCCCATATTCTGGTGTCTGCCTTCCTCTTGACTTCTCTTTACTGTCTTTGTTTGAGATTTCATAGCAGAGTGGTAAGAGAAGGACACAGGAGTTATCTAGAAGTCACCTGTTTTTCCTTACCTTTCATGAGGTAGTGTGCATCTTACATGACCTTGGGCTATCTGTGGAACCGAGCTGCTCCTGCAGAAGCTCAACAGTGTGAGCCTGTGCAGGTATTTTCCAGGTCTCTACTCCAGCAGCCTCTGAGCAGGGCTTCATCCCATGCTTTATTGCTTCATGGTCACAAGATGGCTGCCATATCTCCAGCCTTCCTATCTACACTCAAGATTGTTAAAAGCAGAGATTATGATCATAAGCAAGATCTCATGTTGCATTGGCCAAGTCTAGTTGCAAGGAAAACCAGGCAACAAATGTCTGGCTTATTTTGTCTCTGAAGGTGGGTGGGAAGAAGGCAGAGGACAGTGAATGATAGTGGTCAGGATGGGCAGTCAGCAGTTAGGTCCAGGTTCCCAGTGTTCTCTTCCCCTCATTGTCCTCTGCATCTCTTCTCTACTGGGAAATGCATTTGGCTGTATGGTTGGTTGCTCATCTTTAGTACATTTTCTTCCCTGGAGTTCTGCTTCCAACATACGGCTCCTTTGATATTCCACAGACAATGGTTGGAGGGCTGGGCAGTTCAAGGTGAAGGCCAAATGCCAGGACTCTGTGGTTTGGGAATCCCCTGGACTCCCCCTTCCTGCCCATCAGAGACCCACCCAGTGTGTGAGCCACCAGCTGAAGCCAGAATCATGGTGCGTGTGTGTGTGTGTGTGTGTGTGTGTGTGTGTGTGTGTGTGTGCAAGTTCAATCCTAAGCCAGGCACCTTAGTGATTTAGGGAGATCCTGGATCAAACTATTAAAAGGGGTCAAAGTGTAGCTTGGTGCAGAGCCCCTGAGTTCAAATCCTAGTACTACAACAAAACAAAACAAAACAAACGCCAAGTCCTTGTTCCCTGCAGGTTTGGAGTGATCCACTCGGTCCTCACCAATCTGCTGCTGTGGGCCAACAGTGTCCTGAACGAGTCCAAGCATCAGCTGAATGAGCACAAGGAGCGGCTGATCACACTGGGCTTTGGGAACATCACGCTAGGTGGGGGGAGGGCACCCTGCACCCACTTGGGGTGCTCAGACGGTTGCGGTGGGGGCAGTGCGGATCCCAGGGAGGTGTGGGTCCTGGGAGACAGTGCCCTGCTGCTGATGACTCCAGCCCTCTGTCCCCATCTGCCCCATCCCAAGATTGTGCCCGTCATAATGAATGGTCCTGCCCTGACTCAGGGCCTCTCAGGCCCAGGCTATCATGTGCACACCTGTGTCCCATGGCCCAGTCTGGAGAGAAAGAAGTATCTTTGTTTTCAACTGTGGAAGGTTGGTGGCCATTTCTGCTTTAATGAAGCCACTGGACCAGAGCTTTCTGCTAAAAGCATGGCATTAAAAGCCCCTGGAGGTGTAATGGTAGGTTGTCCTGAACCAGGTGTACTTCACTTGAGGTTTTGTTTAATTGCACTTGGCTTATAATTTTGGCCCATTTTTATTTTTCCTTGTTTCTACTTGAGAGCCGAGAGTGTTAATCTTTATATTTTCTTTCAAAATCTTGAGTGCTTCCAATCCAGGACATGTGTTTTAGAATGTTTGGGTGCAGGACAGGGCAGCATGCTGGCAGCTGGACCTCTTGTTCTGATCACACGCTCTGGAAGCCACTCGGCCTCTCTGAGCTTGCCTGCGCCCCGGGCTGCACATCCCCTGCCAGCTCCCGTGTGCTTTGTCCCGGAGTGAGACCCAAAGCCCCTTCCACTCTAGACTGGGGCAAGCCATCATCAGGAAAGCACCTGTCTGTGACTGCATCAGCACCCTGGCCAGCGCCACAGCAGGGAAGATCCCTCTGTGTCCTGGGGCCTGGTTCCTGCTGTGCTATCCTTCAGGGTGGTAGTGACAATGACAGCTATACCCAAAGAAAGCTTCTAGGAGCACTTGCAGTGTGGTGGGCACAGCGCCAAGCCTCTCTGTGGCTCCCAGGGTTCTCATCTTGCAAGCGGGTGACAGTAACTGTAGTATTAGGTGGCCGAAGCCTCTGATGCCCAGAGGAGGTGAGTGACTGGCCGAGCTCATGCAGCAAGCAAGTGACTGAATCAGGATTAGAATCCAGCAATGCATCTCCAGGGCCTTTTTGCTGAAAGATGAGACTGGATTTATTTGCAGAAGTAGATCTTGTCAGTTTTAACCTCCTGATTCCTTTCCATCTTCTGCACAATACTGTGTGGAGTCAGAAGTGGGGCAAAGAGTCTGCTGAGGAATGGGAAGATGCCCCGTGTCTGCACCATCAGGGCAGGTCATGCTCCTGTGAGACTTCTCAAGTGATGGGGAGGAACTTCTGTGCATTACAACTCAAACCAGTGACAAAGTGCGCGTGCACATGCGCGTGCACACATACACACACACACACACACCCCTTCGTGTAGGCACACGAGTCACACTTAGTTTCACCATATCTTGCATAAATCTTACACAAATCAAGCTTCATCTTCCTCTATAGAGATGCTCTCCTTAATTTCTGGTGTGTTTGATTTCATCCTTTTCTCTATTTCCTTAAAGTTTTATTTGCTAGAAAAATATCAGTTACCACCCTCTAAATTGATTTTGAGACCCAGTATGGGTTTATCCAGCCATTACATATACTGGATACACCATTTGTTCTTACTTGTTTCCACCTTCCTGGTAATAGTATCGTCTGTTTAAAAAGGTTTATTCTATTTATTTATTTATTTATTTTTGTCTTTTTCCTTTTTATCGGTACCAGGGATCGAACTCACGACTGCCTGCTTGCAAGGCAGGCGCTTATACCGCTGAGCTAAATCTCCAGGCCCTGTTATATTTATTTTTAAAATGACAAAATCGTGCATCTCACATATAGCATCGTTCTGAAATGTATACACATGGTACAATGGCTAAAGAAGCTAATTAGCATATGCCCTGCCATACATATTTGCCAGTAAAAACACATCTTAATTAGACTTTCTGGGTTTTTTGTTTGTGTTTGAAACTGGGTCTTATCGTGTAGTTCAGACTGGCCCTGAACTCATGGTGATCCTCTTGCCTCAGCCTCCTGAGTGCTGGAACCACAAGCTTGCACCACCCCACACCTGGCTCAATGATAGATTTCTCACGGCTATTGAATTGCATGGGGGTTTTGCCAAAATTCAATTAATTTCTGAGCTGTTGAACATTCAGGGTCCCTGCTCCATGCATGTGCAGATTTCCCAGTGTTTGTTTCCATTTTTGGGTCCCAGGGAATGGCGACGAGGTGGAGTCAGGGCCCCTCCTGTGTCTGTGGCACTGCCAGTCTTCCCGGTTGTCCATCTTCTCTCCCCCTCAGGAAGAGACACTTATTCTGCAGCCGGTGTCTTTTATCGGGCAGTGACAGTTTACGCTCCTGCCACACCGGCTGGCCTCAAGCCTTCAGAGGGCCTACAGCTGAGCAGAAGGCAGAGTTTTAAACCATCACTAAAAGTCAGACGCAAATCAGACTCCCAAAATTCAGGTAATACATAGATGCAAAGTCTAAAAGGAAACACACCTCCCTGGGGCTTCCCGCCAGACAGAACTGTTGCCTCCTCCTACAGGCATCCTCCCTGACTTTCTCCCCTGTTAGCCCTTCCTGAGTTTCTCCTCTGCAAAGCCGAGGCCGCCTCTGTCCTGTTTTCCCAGGCCCATAGCACCTCTGGACACCTCCTCAGGCAGGAAGTGTGGTTCTGCGGTGCCAGCAAGAATGGCCACGCTGGACTGGCAGATGGTTGAATCGGATTTGTTCAAAGGTGACTCTTGGGGTCCTGGTCCCCCCTGTAGCTGTGACATCGAACTTGATGCTAGACAGGGTGTAATGCTCTGCTCCAGCTGGGCAGCTGCACGCCGAGCCCCACGGACAGTGATCTCCTGGTGCTTTTCTAACTCTTGTTGCTGGTGCCTCCCTTCTCCCATGATCCCCATGACTCCCTCCCCCAGTGACCCCACCCCATGACTCCCCACCTCCCTGACTGACCCTCACATAAGTTCCGCCCTATGACTCATGCCTGTCACCACCCTTCCTCCATAAAACCCTCCGTGATGACAACTGCGCCCCTTGACTTACTCCCCTATTACCTCCCTCTCCTCTGTGATCCCCTCCCCAATTACCCGCTTGTTCCCATGACCTTTCCCCAGTGACCCCTTCCCTGCCGACCCTATATGTCGCCTAGAGCTGGACGACCACTCTCCGCCGTGCAACTGCTCGCCCGCGCGCCTGTGCGCGGCCCTGGCGCAGGGCATGTACTACCTGTACCCGTTCACCATCGAGTATCAGATCCTGGCGTCCACCATGCTCTTCGTGCTCTGGAAGAACATCGGGCGCAGCGTGGATGGCGCACGGCCCCTGCGCACTGGACTGCGGCTCCGTGGCATCCTGGCGGGTTCGGTGCTGGGCCTGGGAGCTCTGGCGGCCACCCTGGGCGTGGTGGCCATGTACCTGGTGCACATTGGCCGCTCCAAGGCCAAGAGCGAGGTGGCGCTGGCCATGTTCTACCTATACGCCATGGCCCTGCTGCTGCTCATGGGCACTGCAGGGCTGCTGGGCATCCTCATCTACAGGGTCGACGAGAAGTCACTGGATGAGTCCAAAAACCCGGCACGCAAGCTGGACACCGACCTCCTGGTGGGCGCGGCCTCGGGCTCCTGGCTCCTCTCCTGGGGCTCCATCCTGGCCATGGCCTTCGCTGAGACCCGGCCGCCCTACACCTGGTATAACCTGCTCTACTCGGTGCTGGCCATCGCGGAGAAATACATCCAGAACCTGTTCATCATCGAGTCTGTGCACCGCGAGCCCGAGGGCCTCCCGGAGGACGTGTGCACCCTGCGCGTGCTCACCGTCTACAACGGGGCCGCCTCCTCTCACCTGGGTGACTCAGGGGAGGCCCAGGACACAGCGCCCCAGGACCAGCTCGCGCAGCCTGCGGGCAAGAGCAGTGTGGGTCGGCAGCCAGGCCTTGGCAAAGAGGAGCAGGTGGAGCCGAGGAGCGGGACGGTGGCCTGGAGCTCAGCCAGCCCGGGGCCCCTCTTTCGGGGCAGCGCCAAGAGAAGAGTCCTGAGGAACATCACGGCGTTTCTATTCCTCTGCAACATTTCGGTAATCTGCTGCAGCCTGATTCTTGCCTTCAGATTGAGCAGTCTCTTTTCCTCACCTCCTTCTCCTAAGGCACGGGGGCAACTTAGAGAGCAAATGAAATTAAAAGTTGATCACAAGTGAGAGCCCAGCCTGGGGAATTCAGAGGCTTAGACTCACCCTGTCTCAAGATAGAGAGGGAAAAGGGCTGTGAGTGTAGCTCAGAGCAAAGGCCCTGGATTCAAAACACTCCCCACACTCTCACTTGCATGACATGGTCGCAACCCCTGCACATCAGACGTGGCCAAAGGGGATCTCTGAGCACTGGGCTGAGCATTCCCCCTTCTGACATTTAATGCATTTATTGAGCACCTGCTGTGTGCAGGAAATAGGTCAGGGCACAGCCATGGACCCTGGAGTTAAAGAATGAAAAGAGAGATAGACATTCCCCATCACTGATGTGGGACTGTGTGTCCCACAGGGTGTCCCTTGAGTCTGAGTTAGTCCCAGAGGGTGGGGAGAGGTGCGGGTGGCGAGGTGTCAGCCATCAGGCAGAGGGCTTTAAACCCTGCGGAGGAGTGGAGGTTCGGCTTTCGGGGTCCCGAAAGACTGGGCTGTCCGGGAAAGGACAGGATCTAGCTGTGTGGCTTGGGCCAGGGGAGAGGGAGCAGGCAGGGGAACAGACAGGAAGGAGAGGGGGTGCGCAGGTACCGGTGGGAGCTAAGGGTGTGCAGAGGAGGTGCAGAGTCGAGGCTTGATGGTGGTGATGTTCGGGGTAAGGGGGTGACACCATGACCCCCTGGTGGGGGCTGATGTTGCCTGAGAAAAAGGGGAAGTGGGGAAGGTAAGGTGGAGTTTGAGGTGGGTTTTTGTTTGAGGCTGGAACTCCTGAGCGTGGTCGAGGTTGTAGGCTGAGATGGAAGCAAGGGTGGTCACTTGTATTTAGAGCCAGAGCTGCAGGGGCCTCGTACATGGGGAAGGGAAGGGCACCTGGCACAAGCCTGGGACAGCATGAGGAGGAGGACAGCTAAGGGGACTGGGAAGAGCTAATGAGGTGGTAGGGTGAGGGTCAGGGGAGAGCTGTCAGTTACAGCTATGTGTATCAGTTACCCATTGCTGTGTGAGAAATCACCCCCAATGCAGCAGTTTAAACAACCATATATGTTGCATGCTTTGTCCTGTGTGGTACAGCTGGGGGGTCTGCTCAGTGTCCTTCCCAGGCTGAAAGCCACACCCCTTTCAAGGCCTTGCTCTAGGGATTTGACTGATGAGACCCACTTGTGTGTCTATTGGATGGGTTTCTGAAGCCCCTGCAGGCTCCTGGCCTGAGACCTCCCTGGATCCCTGCCATATGGCCTCTCCATGGGGTGGCCTAGCCTGGGACAGGTGTATCCTTTTGTGCAAGAGATCAGTGACAAAGACAGCCGATCCTTCTGTGAGCAGGTGCTATTCTGGTGGCTTTTGCCCTATTCAGTGAGAAGTGGGCTGGTAGCTTTAGCCCACATTCAGGAGGAAGAGGGGATTACATGGAGGGGGACCCCAGGTACTAGGGGAGGCACTGGGGTCAGCTAAAGGCTGCAGTAGGGAAGAGAAGTGGGCCAGGGCCCAGCCTCAGAGCCCTGGCAACTTCAGGGGTGCTGGAGTGAAAGCAGCCAGGGCAGAGGCTGAATGGGAGGACGGGGGCCAGTGTGTGGGGGTCAGTGAGGCACAGAGCAACAGATTATGGGTTTTGCAAATTTAGCTCTCTTTGCACTCAGATTAAGCCCACTTTGAGAGGTATTAGCATTGGCATCTTACAGATGGGGGAGACCAGGGCCGGGTGAGAGCTGTAGGGATGGAGAGACCTGGACAGGTTCCAGAGGATGGCACATGTTTATAATCCTAGTGCTGAGGGAGGCTGCGGCACAAGGGTTACAAGTTTAAGCCCAGCCTGGGCAGTTTAGCAAGATTCTGTCTCAAAATAAAAACTAAAAAAGGCTGGGCCTAGAGCTCAGTGTGAAGGCTCTGGGTTCAATCCTTAGTGCAGGATCCTTAGACAGGGGAGGGTTCATTAAGGATTTACTGCCCTGAGGGATGGGTGAGAGGCAGAGGAGGCTCCTGGGCCTGGTGGTTTCCATGGAGACTGGGATGCTACACAGTCTCATTGGTCAACAGATGTGAGTGTAGCCCGTGAGCGCGGGTAGCACCTGTGATCCTGGGCTGCATGGGGCATCATGGGAGGGCAGGGGGGGGGGCTGCTCGCCAGACAGATGCCCCTCTTCTCTCGCAGCTGTGGATCCCTCCTGCCTTTGGCTGCCGTCCCGAGTATGACAACGGGCTGGAGGAAGTGGTCTTTGGCTTTGAACCCTGGATAATTGTGGTCAACCTGGCCATGCCCTTTTCCATTTTCTACCGGATGCATGCAGCTGCCTCTCTCTTTGAGGTCTATTGTAAGATGTAGACCGGGTCCACCAGAGACAGACAGGCCAGCTGACGAGTGAGCTCATTGGAGCCCCTGGGCAAATATTGCCGGACAAGGGCAAGGCACCTTTTGTCTTCGGTGACTGTGTCCGAGGGCTGGGCATCACCGCTGCAGGCCAGGACGTGGCAAAAACCATGATGGGAGCTGAAATCCATCCTCAGCTGTCAGTTTTTATCAAGCTCAAATTATTTTACCGCCCTCTAAATGACACTGTTTTAGAAGAATGTGATCTATGTTTGGGCAAACATCTCTCCTGTTAGTTTTTCTCACACAGCCCTTTCTGTTTGTCATTTACCCGGCGACAATCCTGTCCCTCTGCCTACAGTCAGTTAAACCTTATCCTTCTCAGAGCTGCCAAATAGAGACACGAACACATTGGGTTTATATTTTGGCTTCTGAGTGGGTTGAATTTGCCAACAAAGTGACTTTTGCCATCTGGATGGAAATTTAAATGTGCCCGAGATTTGGCACATGGTTCTTTGCGATCATTTTGTAATTTATTTTTTAAAATAAAATATAGTCTGCTTTTTTCCATTATAAATCTTTGCTAGAGAGAATTTGGGATTTCAGAAAATTAGAAACAGTCAGCCATGATGCTACTGTTCAGTTAGCGGTTCCCTTTCAATACCTTGATATATTTCTTTTTCTGGGATGGAACCTGGGATTGTCTTGATTGTTATACCTGACAGTCATGGTCCAATGTTTTCAATTCTGTACCCAATTTTGTTCTTCACTTGACAGCATTTCCCCTACATTGCCATGAACTCATTATAAAATAATTTTAATGCTATATTATAGTCTATTATGTGAACATTTTATCATTGACTTGGTTTCTTAACTGATGATTTTAAAGTGTTTGTAACTTTTCATTTTTATAATTGCTCTGCAAAAATAAAACCAGACGTCAGAAGCATTTCCTGTTTAGAATTGCTTCCTAACATATCTAGTTGGTACTGTATTGCCATGAACCCCATATCTGCAGATTCGATTGACCTTGGGGAGAAAATATTTTTTAAAAAGTTTCATACATATTGGTCAGGTGCAGATTAAACAACGCAACAACTACTTACATGGCACTAATATTTTATATCATTAGTAACCTAGACATGATGGAAAGTCTACAGGAGGATCGCATGTTATATGCAAATACAGTAGCATTTTGTGTAAGGGGTTTAGTATCTGTGGGTTTTGGTGTCTTACCCCCTGGCACACACAGTACGGACCAACTGTGTACTTAAAATCAGGATGAGAGCCCACAGGTTATAAATATCTAAAAGTCTCCTAAGGATTAGTGACATGTGGGAGGTCTTTTTGTGGTTCTCCAGAACTACTGTATTTATTTACTTTTGGCTGAGACAGACTCTCCCCGTGTATTCCGGACATTGGTCCTCGTGGTGAGAGAGGAAACTGGGAAGCTGGATGGGAGTAGCTGTCATGGTGAGCAGCCTGGAGGGACATATTTACTGCAAAGCTCTTTTCCTAGGAGCTGGAGGCATACCTCAGTGGTGCAGGGTCTTCCTGGCAAGTACACAGTCCTGAGTTCATTTCTAGTACTGGAACAAGACAGGTGTGTCCTAAATCTTCACTGCAGCATTAGTTGGATTAGGAAAAGCAGAAAACAATCTAGATGTCTGCCTAGAGACTGGATTAGGAATGGCAGTTTCTACAATGGAGTGTCTCTCAGAGGTGGAAACCAAATTTGCCAGCACTGCAGGCCTCTGCGCAGACAATCCCCATGCCATGTTGAATGGAAAAATTGTGAAGCACAGGAGCATGGTGCCATTCACAGGAGGCTTAGAAATGGCCATGATGATCCAGGTATCGCTAGGGCAGCCATGCACACTGTTGTAGTCAGGGGTTATAAGGAGGACAGTTACGTATGGGACTCATAATTTATAGTACTATTTATAATGGTCACCCAAGGAGTCAAACACAAAGTGCAGGAAATCTGTCCACAGCACTAAAGACCTAGAAAATTCAGCTGAGGGCCTGGATCCCATGGCAATAACCTTCATGAGTTCAACTGAAAACCTAGAGCCCAGGACAATGTCTCATGAAAGTCTATTTCATGGATTTGCACTGGGAAGGCCCACAGATCAGCAGTGGAAGCTAGAAAGTCTATGCCAGCTGGGTGGAGGATATGTGCCAGCAGGCTGAGGGTTCTGCAGTGGAGCTAAGAAGCAAGGCTCAAAATAAGGACCAGGGCTGTCCTGAAAAGCACCACAGCCATCCTCAGTGACAATGAGATCCTGAGCTCTTCCAATGATGAGAACAGCCAAGTTCATATCGGAGGGGCCAGCTTGACAAGCTCCTCCAAGAGAACCAAGGGCTCCAAACAGCACCACCGTGCTTCCTCTCCAGGCCTCGCTCTCCTCTTTATGCTGCCATCAGCCCTCAGGGGGCCCTCCATGCTCAGCACCATGCTGATTCAGTTCAGCTGGCCTTTAAGTTGACAATCCACTACACACATGGAGTGAGCTTATAGACACGTGGGAAGAAGTCATGCAAACCGAGTCAGGTGTGGGAAGGGGTGGATTGCATGGGGACCGGCGGCCGAGTGGTCATGCACACTATGGGTTGTGTTTTCCTTGATGTGTTTTTATGTATCAGCTGTTTCATAATTAAAACAGTTGAGAGGAAAACCGAGAAAGTAAGGGAAGAGAACTTGGACTGCTGGAGCAACTCTGGCTCCTCCTGCAGGCCGTGCGCTGACGCCTCTCAAGGTAGCATTTGATCAGACCTGTTGGTTACAGGTCATCTGAGCCCCTGGCTCAGCACCTTTGTAAATCCAGCGACCAGTCTCCCCCTGCCCCTGCTTCTCTTTCCCTGTCATGGCTCTCGCCTTAGAGGATAGGGCTGTGGCCCCACGGCCATGTGGGCTGCCCTCATGCCACGAGTCTCTTGGGAGGTGGTGCTGACCAGGACTGTCATGGTACTTTCTTTAGACTTGGAGTCCCTGTCAGGGACAGGGCTACTTCCGGTGCCCAAATTCAGCTCTCCGCTCGCCTTCTGGACGCAAGAGGGCGCTGTGAGCCTGACTATGAAGAGGAGGACACGGCCAGGCGTTTCCTCACTTGCTGCGCAGCAACCAGCGGGAAGCCAGACGGGGGTTCCCACAGTGCCTTCCTCCTGCCGCAGGGGCAGTGGAGGAGCCTGCCGGTCTTCCTGACAGCAGCACCGGCTACCTGGCACAGCAGCGGGTACGGAGGACCTCCTTCCCTAGAGATGGCACAGGGCAGGCCCTGGAAGGAGCCTGACCACGTGTTGGCAAGGGGTGCGTGGTGAGCCCAGAGTGGGTCTGACATTGCTGCAGGGTGGTAACGTGTGCACACATGTGCACACAAACACACATACATGCACACACACGCAGAGAGGATGTGCTGCAGGACCTTACGTGGCCTGTCAAGCCTAAGGTAGTTACTGTCTGGCTCTCTATGGAAACTCTTGCTGACCCCTGGTCTAGACCATGAAAGGCAAGGGACCCCATTGACTGGCCCTGCAGGGACTTTGATCCCTAAATGGGAATGAGATGAGGAGGACAGCCCTTCTGCCCGCCTGGAAGTTCTGTGGAAAGAAGTTAGTCTCGGAGCTGTGATAGCCAGTTTGTGACCTTAAGCTAATAGGTCCTCTGTGAAAGGCCAGTCCACTGAGGAAGGAGACGGGAGACTGGGGACTTGAGAATGCGGCTGAGTTTCTTCTGCAGAGCCCTGGGGCCGCCTTCCCCTGGAGCGATTGTGTGGTCATTCACATGATGTGTCAACTTGATTTGGGTAAGAGTCGCCCATCAGATTGGTAAAGTCTGGGTGTGTCTGTGGATGACTGACAGGTGGGCCAGCAAGTGGAAGGAAAGACCCATGCCTGATGTAGGTTGCATCAACCAATAGGCTTTCAACCTGGAGGAAATAAAAAGAGAAGGAAGGAAGAGCTCTGGTCTTTGCCATTGCCCGGGGATGTGGATTTCTAGTTCTTCACTCTCCAGTATAGCCTTGTGCTGTGGCTCTGCAGTGACCCCAGGCTCTGACCTTGACTGCTGGACCCTTCTCCTCCTCTGCTCGAAGATGGCCACAATAGATTTTTCCACCTCCAGGCTTACCCAATAAGTCCTTTTGCATAACTATATGCATATTTTGTATTAACTCGGCTCCTCTAGAAAGCCCTCATAAATACTCTTTGTTAGGGGGAGATAATCAAGTGTCACCCTGGTTTGGCCAGTGGCAGACTAGCTTGTCTCTGTAATGAGTCAGAGGAAAGCAGTTTTAGGTTTTATAAGCCAGGGGATCTCTGTCACTGTATGGTGTGAAAGCTACCATTGGCTACATGCAAAATAGAGGGACGTGGCTGTGTACTGTGTATGTGTGTGTGTGTGTGTGTGTGTGTGTGTGTGCACACGCGTGTGTGTAAAAGCAGGTGGTGGCAGGATCTGCAGCTGCCCCTAGTCTCCTCTGTCCTTCCAAAGTCACCTCAGCCACCCAGGAGTGCTGCTGGGTTCCAGCCCGGGGAGCAGCTGAGCGTGGGGCATCTCTTGCACAGTGGGCCCTAACTGTTCCTCTGTCCTCCTCTCCACGGTCACCCATGCTTTCTCCCCCCGCCTCCTGACCATGCTCCCGGGACCACAAAGATTCCGCACAGGCAGTTTCAGGGTTGCCAGGGCTGCGGTGTCCCTTATGCTGCGAGGGAAGGGGTCACTCTGTGCATCCATGGAGCAGGATTCACCCCATAGAGCAATGGGGTAGTGGTGTGCATGGGTCACAGACAGAGAGTGGCTGGTGCCACCTTTCCCGACAAGCACATTCCCCAATGTGGAGCCGCTCTGATACTTTGAAGGTGCAAGGGTGACATGATGATGGACCCTTCACATGGAGACTGGCAGTGAGGTGCACACAGGTTCTGTGCCCCCTTGGAGTCTGACTGTGCTCTGTCTCCAAGCTGGATCCCAGAAGAAGGACAGGACTCCAGCAGAGGCAGGGGCAGCACCTTGGAGGAGGACAAGGACTTCAAGGACAGCAGCACAGAGAGAGGACGAGGCTCTGGGGTGTTGGCCATGAGTGACCTCCACTCTCCTGCACCTCGGGTTTCTCCTCTGTGTGGCAGTGCGGCAGGAGACCCGCCTTGAAGGGTTGCTGAGAAAAGTGGGTGGTGCAGGGAGAACCCTAAGTTTGTGGCCCGGCTCATGGAAGCTCCTATTATGTTCTCCGTATATTTTAGCTCCAGGGGTGATTATGCCCCCAAACGTGTCCATGTCCTCATTCTCCAGAGCCTGTAAATGGTAGCAGAGAAATGAGGACCCAAGGGCATTAAAGGGCTGGAGATACACACTCATCCTGGTGGCTGTGCAGGCTTGGTGTTGTCACAAGTGTCCTTAGGAGAAACAGGGGAGATGGGGAAATGATGGACATCGGGAGAGGAAGAAGCCCTGTGACCAAACAGCAGAGCTTGGCATGCTGGGGACACGAACTCGGCTGCTGGGGCCCCGCAGGTCCCCCTGGGTGCTCTTGGTTTCATCATTACTGTCCTGGCTGAGCAAATTCCCAGCCAAGGGCCACTGCTGTCTGGACACAGCTGGTACCTAGACTCACATTTGCAGCTGACTTCTCAGCTCCAGGGTGGTTCACCCCAGCAGCCTGCCTGGGGTCTTTGAACTAATAGTGTCCAAAGCTAACTCGAGATCGTGTGGCCTTGCCTGTTGCTCCTTTCATTTTCCACCCCTGTGGCTGCTCCCGTGCAAGCCACACCCTCGAAGGCCGTCTTTGTGCTCTGTGCCCTTCCGGGCTCAGGATACCACACCCTAAATTGTGGCACTGGGCATGTCATGAACCTTGGCCTGAGGAACACTGGAAGGCCTCAAAACTAAGGTCAGTCTCACCTTCTTGTGGCCCCCCTTACTCTTCCAAAGTGAATCATAGAATCCAAAATCCTCTTGCCCAGAGCAGGT